AAATCAAACGGAACAGTTGAACAGTATTATTTCGACGGGAGATTTACATTATCCCCACAGTTCATAAACTTACGTAAATCAATGTACAGCACGAAGCATTGCTAGTTATTCATTATTATTTTGATGTTGATGGATTTATTTTGGTAGAAAGTTGGAGAATGCATGGCTTTGCTTTGTTACAGAATAAAGCCATTCTCCAACTTTCTATACCAAACAAATTCTAAATATTCAATATAATAAAGCCATATAGTACAGCTATATATAACTTAAATATCTATTCCATTTTACTTACCCACTTTATCACAGCACTGTCCGGGTTGTGATACGTTAGTGTAACCTAAAGTAAATATAAAATACGAAAATGTTGCATAGTGATTATGTGAAGAAACGTCTTTAACTGTTTGTATTCTGCTTCTTACCGGAGAACAGGTTTGGACAAGTCGTGTATCGCAAACAACCTACATAACCAGCTTCACATTTACAGGACTCGCAACGTGATTTATTCCATCTGTCGCCCAACTGGTGAAAAACGAGGATATAAGCAAAACATCGTACAAAAAGCTAATAAATGTAGCTATAATAAAGGGGGAAATCCATTGCTTAACGATATTTTTATTTTAGAAGAAAAACAGATAGGTTAGAAGCAATTCCCCTAGGAATTATTTCTAGAACATTATCATGAATTTGCATGCGGTTGAATAACGAGTTTTCATCACCAGCCAACATATGTAAGGGGAGACATTTGTAATCAAATGTAATTTAAGGCGGAAATTAAAAACATATTCTTACCTTATAATTTTCTCCATCCATTCTACAGTAGGTGGGCGTGGTAGGTGTTGTGATGGTGGTTCGATTACCGGTTGGTTTCACAGTAGATTGTGTGGGCAAAGGTATGGTGGTGGAAGATGGAGTTGGAGTCGTAACTATTTAAAAAAAATTAACGGATGTTTGCGCAGGCTTAATTTGTCAAAAATGACTACCTCTTAGAACATTTTAATTACGCCCCACAATGATAAAAGCACCAATTTTCACCATACGCCACTAAAATATATTTTAAAAAATGCCCACATGCATGTTATTTCATAATATTCGAATTTTTGAATTCAAATAGCGCCTACTCTCAATTTTAAAATATATCGTGAACAGTTCTATTTCACAAGCTGCAGTTACAGTGAAGTTGGTGAGAAAAACTATTACGGTGCGTTCATAATTACCGCATTTCGGACAACATTCTCCAGGGTAATACATCGCATTTGAGCCCTTAAATTAAAGAGGAAGCACTTAATTGCAAATGTCAACTTTATCACGACTATCACGTCTCACTTATTTTCTGTTTTATTTTTAAAAACTACAATTTTCTACTTACGCTGGGACAATTTCCGCATGTCGCCACTATACAATTAATTGTAAAATTACTCTGACATGTACATGTCTTGCAGTTGCTTTCTTTCCATATTTTGCCAACCTAAAATTCAAAAACGTGCTATTACTTTAAAACCTGAATCGTGTGGTTTTGGGAAAAGTGATCAGATTCTACTGATCTCTCTTTCTCTTTTGGTATTTCATTGAAAGAAATTATATAATACTGATAGATCACTTGTCATCTTTTAGGAATATGTTATTCATAATATACTCTCTATCGCTTATACGTATGTTAGCTATAATTTCGGTACCCAACCTCGTGATACACTCCATTCAGCGAACAGTTTGTTAATGTCACAGTTGTTGTGTGGATATTGTTGTAGATGATGCAGTAGTGGTAGGTAGAACTAGAAATTAAGATAAATTCAACTCATATCTTGTAACTGATATGCATGTACTGACCTATTTAAGGAATGAAGGCGATATTTATCTCTCCTGCAATAAAATTCATGCGGCAAAATCTATTTGCACTTGGAATATGAAAAATTTTGAAAAATCGCGTCGCGTTGCAAGATCGCGCCCTGTCTGCATGTGTGGGCTTTTGATGTTCACGACAATTACGACTAAATGGAAATTAAGCCTTAGTCTTTTGGCATTCGAATCCGCTACCTTCAAAGTTATTTTTGTATGGAAGAGATGGATATGTTTAGAATAACTTGCCAGTATGGTATATACAAATTATAGAAAAATATCGATTGTTTTTTTTTACGCTGAAACATTCTTAAGGGAACATATGACCAAATTACTAATTATTTTCCAGGGACCACTCACCAAAAATGTCACAGCATTGACCTGGAAAAGGGGTTTCCTTTTGGTATTGAAACTGAGGATGTGTAACAAGTGTTTTTGCCAGTAATAAACGATGCATTAAAATTACGCTATAGTGTTTGATAGAAAAAGGGGAAAAGAACGCACATTTTCCCAAATCAAACGGAACAGTTCAACAGTATTATTTCGACGGGAGATTTACATTATCCCCACAGTTCATAAACTTACGTAAATCAATGTACAGCACGAGCATTGCTAGTATTCATTATTATGGTTGATGTTGATGGATTTATTTTGGTAGAAAGTTGGAGAATGCATGGCTTTGCTTTGTTACAGAATAAAGCCATTCTCCAACTTTCTATACCAAACAAATTCATAAATATTCAATATAAATAAAGCCATATAGTACAGCTATATATAACTTAAATATCTATTCCATTTTACTTACCACATTTATCACAGCACTGTCCGGGTTGTGATACGTTAGTGTAACCCTAAAGTTAATAAATTAAAATACGAAAATGTTGCACTAGTGATTATGTGAAGAAACGTCTTTAACTGTTTGTATTCTGCTTCTTACCGGAGAACAGGTTGGACAAGTCGTTGTATCGCAAACAACTACATAACCAGCTTCACATTTACAGGACTCGCAACGTGATTTATTCCATCTGTCGCCCAACTGGTGAAAAAAAAAAGGATATAAGCAAAACATCGTACAAAAAGCTAATAAATGTAGCTATAATAAAGGGGGAAATCCATTGTTTAACGATATTTTATTTTAGAAGAAAAACAGATAGGTTAGAAGCAATTCCCCTACGGAATTATTTCTAGAACATTATCATGAATTTGCATGCGGTTGAATAACGAGTTTTCATCACCAGCCAACATATGTAAGGGGAGACATTTGTAATCAAATGTAATTTAAGGCGGAAATTAAAAACATATTCTTACCTTATAATTTTCTCCATCCATTCTACAGTAGGTGGGCGTGGTAGGTGTTGTGATGGTGGTTCGATTACCGGTTGGTTTCACAGTAGATTGTGTGGGCAAAGGTATGGTGGTGGAAGATGGAGTTGGAGTCGTAACTATTTAAAAAATTAACGGATGTTTGCGCAGGCTTAACTTGTTAAAAATGACAACCTCTTAGAACATTTTAATTACGCCCCACAATGATAAAAGCACCAATTTTCACCATACGCCACTAAAATATATTTTAAAAAATGCCCACATGCATGTTATTTCATAATATTCGAATTTTTGAATTCAAATAGTGCCTAGTCTCAATTTTAAAATATATTCGTGAACAGTTCTATTTCACAAGCTGCAGTTACAGTGAAGTTGGTGAGAAAAACTATTACGGTGCGTTCATAATTACCGCATTTCGGACAACATTCTCCAGGGTAATAAATCGCATTTGAGCCCTTAAATTAAAGAGGAAGAATGTTATAGTCACTTAATTGCAAATGTCAACTTTATCACGACTATCACGTCTCACTTATTTTCTGTTTTATTTTTAAAAACTACAATTTTCTACTTACGCTGGGACAATTTCCGCATGTCGCCACTATACAATTAACTGTATAATCACTCTGACATGTACATGTCTTGCAGTTGCTTTCTTTCCATATTTTGCCAACCTAAAATTCAAAAACGTGCTATTACTTTAAAACCTGAATCGTGTGGTTTTGGGAAAAGTGATCAGATTCCACTGATCTCTCTTTCTCTTTTGGTATTTCATTGAAAGAAATTATATAATACTGATAGATCACTTGTCATCTTTTAGGAATATGTTATTCATAATATACTCTCTATCGCTTATACGTATGTTAGCTATAATTTCGGTACCCAACCTCGTGATACACTCCATTCAGCGAACAGTTTGTTAATGTCACAGTTGTTGGTGTGGATATTGTTGTAGATGATGCAGTAGTGGTAGGTAGAACTAGAAATTAAGATAAATTCAACTCATATCTTGTAACTGATATGCATGTACTGACCTATTTAAGGAATGAAGGCGATATTTATCTCTCCTGCAATAAAATTCATGCGGCAAAATCTATTTTTTGCACTTGGAATATGAAAAATTTTGAAAAATCGCGTCGCGTTGCAAGATCGCGCCCTGTCTGCATGTGTGAGCCTTCGATGTTCACGACAATTACGACTAAATTGAGACTAAGCTTTAGTCTTTTGCATTCGAATCCGCTACCTTCAAAGTTATTTTTGTATGGAAAAGATGGATATGTTTACAATAACATGTAAGTATGGTATATACCAATCACAGCAAAATATCGATTGTTTTTTTTTACGCTGAAACATTCTTAAGGGAACATATGACCAAATTACTAATTATTTTCCAAAAAACACTCACAAAAAATGTCACAGCATTGACCTGGAACAGGAATGCTTTTGATATTGAAACTGAGGATGTGTAACAAGTGTTTTTCCCAGCAATAAACGATGCATCAAAATTACGCTATAGTGTTTCATAGATAAAGGGGAAAAGAAAGCACATTCTCCCAAGTCAAACGCAACAGTTCAAAACTAATTATTTCGACGGGAGATTTACATTATCCCCACAGTTTATAAACTTGTATATCAATGTACAGCGCGAGCATTGCTAGTATTCATTATTATGCTTTATGTTGATGGATTTATTTTGGTAGAAAGTTGGAGAATGCATGGCTTTGTTCCGTTACAGAGTAAAGCCATTCTCCAACTTTCTATACCAAAATATTTCATAAATATTCAATATATATAAAACCATATAGTACAGCTATATATATCTTATATATCTACTTCATTTTACTTACCACATTTATCACAGCACTGTCCGGGTCGTGATACGTTAGTGTAACCCTAAAGTTAATAAATTAATATACGAAAATGTTGCACTAGTGGTTATATAAAGAAACGTCTTTAACTCTTTGTATTCTGCTTCTTACCGGAGAACAGCTTGGACAAGTTGTGGTATCGCAAAGAACATAACCAGCTTCACATTTACAGGACTCGCAACGTGATTTATTCCATTTCTCGCCCAACTGGTGAAAAAAACGAGGATATAAGCAAAAGATCGTACAAAAAGCTAATAAATGTAGCTATAATAAAGAGGGAAATCGATTGTTTAACGATATTTTATTTTAGAAGAAAAACAGATAGGTTAGAAGCAATTCCCCTACGGAATTATTTCTAGAACATTACATGAATTTGCATGCGGTTGAATAACGAGTTTCCATCACCAGATAACATATGTAGAGGGGGACATTTGTAATCAATTATAATTTAAGGCGCAAATTAAGAATATATTCTTACCCTGTAATTTTTTCCATCCATTCTACAGTAGGTGGGCGTGGTAGGTGTTGTGGTGGTGGTTCGATTACCGGTTGGTTTCACCGTAGATTGCGTGGGCGAAGGAATGGTGGTGGAAGATGGTGTTGGAGTCGTAACTATTTAAAAAAAATTAACGGATGTTTGCGCGCGCTTAATTTGTCAAAAATGACTACCTCTTAGAACATTTTAATTACGCCCCACAATGATAAAAGAACCAATTTTTACATTACGCGACTAAAATGTATTTTAAAAAATGTCCACATGCATGTTGATTCATCATATTCGTATTTTTGAATTCAAATAGCGCCTAGTCTCGATTTTAAAATGTATTCGTGAACAGTTCTATTTCAGAAGCTGCATGCAGTTACTGTGAAGTTGATGAGAAAAACTATTACGTTACGTTCATAATTACCGCATTTCGGACAACATTTTCCAGGGTAATAAATCTCATTTGAGCCCTTAAATTAAGGAGAAAGAATGTTATAGTCACTTAATTGCAAATGTCAACTTTATCACGACTATCACGTCTCACTTATTTTCTGTTTTATTTTTAAAAACTACAATTTTCTACTTACGCTGGGACAATTTCCGCATGTCGCCACTATACAATTAATGTATAATTACTCTGACATGTACATGTCTTGCAGTTGCTTTCTTTCCATATTTTGCCAACCTAAAATTCAAAAACGTGCTATTACTTTAAAACCTGAATCGTGTGGTTTTGGGAAAAGTGATCAGATTCTACTGATCTCTCTTTCTCTTTTGGTATTTCATTGAAAGAAATTATATAATACTGATAGATCACTTGTCATCTTTTAGGAATATGTTATTCATAATATACTCTCTATCGCTTATACGTATGTTAGCTATAATTTCGGTACCCAACCTCGTGATACACTCCATTCAGCGAACAGTTTGTTAATGTCACAGTTGTTGGTGTGGATATTGTTGTAGATGATGCAGTAGTGGTAGGTAGAACTAGAAATTAAGATAAATTCAACTCATATCTTGTAACTGATATGCATGTACTGACCTATTTAAGGAATGAAGGCGATATTTATCTCTCCTGCAATAAAATTCATGCGGCAAAATCTATTTGCACTTGGAATATGAAAAATTTTGAAAAATCGCGTCGCGTTGCAAGATCGCGCCCTGTCTGCATGTGTGGCTTTTGATGTTCACGACAATTACGACTAAATGGAAATTAAGCCTTAGTCTTTTGGCATTCGAATCCGCTACCTTCAAAGTTATTTTTGTATGGAAAAGATGGATATGTTTAGAATAACTTGCCAGTATGGTATATACAAATTATAGAAAAATATCGATTGTTTTTTTTTACGCTGAAACATTCTTAAGGGAACATATGACCAAATAACTAATTATTTTCCAGGGACCACTCACCAAAAATGTCACAGCATTGACTTGGAAAAGGGGTTTCCTTTTGATATTGAAACTGAGGATGTGCAACAAGTGTTTTTGCCAGTAATAAACGATGCATTAAAATTACGCTATAGTGTTTGATAGATAAAGGGGAAAAGAACGCACATTTTCCCAAATCAAACGGAACAGTTCAACAGCATTATTTCGACGGGAGATTTACATTATCCCCACAGTTCATAAACTTACGTAAATCAATGTACAGCACGAGCATTGCTAGTATTCATTATTATGGTTGATGTTGATGGATTTATTTTGGTAAAAGTTGGAGAATGCATGGCTTTGCTTTGTTACAGAATAAAGCCATTCTCCAACTTTCTATACCAAACAAATTCATAAATATTCAATATAAATAAAGCCATATAGTACAGCTATATATAACTTAAATATCTATTCCATTTTACTTACCACATTTATCACAGCACTGTCCGGGTTGTGATACGTTAGTGTAACCCTAAAGTTAATAAATTAAAATACGAAAATGTTGCACTAGTGATTATGTGAAGAAACGTCTTTAACTGTTTGTATTCTGCTTCTTACCGGAGAACAGGTTGGACAAGTCGTTGTATCGCAAACAACTACATAACCAGCTTCACATTTACAGGACTCGCAACGTGATTTATTCCATCTGTCGCCCAACTGGTGAAAAAACGAGGATATAAGCAAAACATCGTACAAAAAGCTAATAAATGTAGCTATAATAAAGGGGGAAATCCATTGTTTAACGATATTTTATTTTAGAAGAAAAACAGATAGGTTAGAAGCAATTCCCCTACGGAATTATTTCTAGAACATTATCATGAATTTGCATGCGGTTGAATAACGAGTTTTCATCACCAGCCAACATATGTAAGGGAGACATTTGTAATCAAATGTAATTTAAGGCGGAAATTAAAAACATATTCTTACCTTATAATTTTCTCCATCCATTCTACAGTAGGTGGGCGTGGTAGGTGTTGTGATGGTGGTTCGATTACCGGTTGGTTTCACCGTAGATTGTGTGGGCAAAGGTATGGTGGTGGAAGATGGAGTTGGAGTCGTAACTATTTAAAAAAAATTAACGGATGTTTGCGCAGGCTTAACTTGTTAAAAATGACAACCTCTTAGAACATTTTAATTACGCCCCACAATGATAAAAGCACCAATTTTCACCATACGCCACTAAAATATATTTTAAAAAATGCCCACATGCAATGTAATTTCATAATATTCGAATTTTTGAATTCAAATAGTGCCTAGTCTCAATTTTAAAATATATTCGTGAACAGTTCTATTTCACAAGCTGCAGTTACAGTGAAGTTGGTGAGAAAAACTATTACGGTGCGTTCATAATTACCGCATTTCGGACAACATTCTCCAGGGTAATACATCGCATTTGAGCCCTTAAATTAAAGAGGAAGAATGTTATAGTCACTTAATTGCAAATGTCAACTTTATCACGACTATCACGTCTCACTTATTTTCTGTTTTATTTGAAAAACTACAATTTTCAACTTACGCTTGGACAATTTCCACATGTTTCCACTATACAATTAACTGTATAATCACTCTGACATGTACATGTCTTGCAGTTGCTTTCTTTCCATATTTTGCCAACCTAAAATTCAAAAACGTGCTATTACTTTAAAACCTGAATCGTGTGGTTTTGGGAAAAGTGATCAGATTCCACTGATCTCTCTTTCTCTTTTGGTATTTCATTGAAAGAAATTATATAATACTGATAGATCACTTGTCATCTTTTAGGAATATGTTATTCATAATATACTCTCTATCGCTTATACGTATGTTAGCTATAATTTCGGTACCCAACCTCGTGATACACTCCATTCAGCGAACAGTTTGTTAATGTCACAGTTGTTGTTGTGGATATTGTTGTGGATGATGCAGTAGTGGTAGGTAGAACTAGAAATTAAGATAAAATTTTAACTCATTTCTTGTAACTGATATGTACTGACCTATTATGTAATAAGATTCATGCTGCGTTTTTATTTACGCCTATTATGATAGGTTAAAATTCATTTGCTTTTGGAAAATGAGAAAGTTTGAAAAATTGCTCTGCGTTGCCAAATCGCGTCCTGTCTGTGTGGGCCTTCGACGTTCACGACAATTACGACTAAATGGGAACTAAGCTTTAGTGTTTGGGCAATCGATTTCACTACCTTCAAAGTTATTTTTATCGCGAAAAGATGGATACGTTTTACTTGTATAAGTATAGTATATAGCAATTATAGCAAAATATCGATTGCTTGTTCTTACGCTTAAACATAAATTGAATGTGACCAAATTACTAATTCTAGGATTCACTCACCACAAATGTCACAGCATTGACCTGGAACAGGAATGCTCTTCAAACCCTTGAAAAATAAAAGAGAGATACTGATAGCATTATAACTAAGACAGTTTTGTACTATAGATGAATGAGTTTGCCATTATATTGACTATGTTATAACTATGGCATATTATGTACGTTTTATAGCTTACCTCGGCACAAACTGGGCACGACCTTGTTACATGACAGATAACATCATAGTTTCCTACACATTCACACTGTTTGCAAGCAGTTACATTCCACTTTTGTCCGAGCTGTAATTATATCAAAGAGATAACGATTTCTTACATGGCTAAGCCATTAGCCAATCACAGGCTGCAAGTTATTTTAGGATAATAGCGATGATATTTATTTATTCCTGCATGTGTTTGCGTTATGATGACACAAACTACGGGTTCGTAAATCTCATTAATACCCATCCCCTACCTCGTTCAATAATTGCTTACTATCTCCTTGAAATTTTACCTTGTAATACGTCCCATTTCTTTCACAATGTCTTGTTGTGGGCGTTGTAATGGATGGTGTCGTGGATATTGTAGTAAGAGTTGTTGATGAAGGTGTTGTAGTTGTATGTTTAGGTTCTATTAACATAAGAACATGTTTTGGAACAGTGATTGACAGGTTGTTCGCGATAAATTGAGCGGATGAGTTGGTTCGCAAATGCTAATTCTATACTCTATCATGCATATCTTGGAATGAATACAATTTAAACAACATCACTTTTTTCCTCCATAGGCGTGCATAACAGAGGGAAAAAAGGCCTACACTCCCCCCGCCACTCCACCCCCCGCCACTCCACCCCCGCCACTCCACCCACCCCCACTCCACCCCGCACTCCCGCCTGTAATTTGGTGATACGTCGGGTAATTCGGCTCAAAGAAGTCGAGAGTCGCCAAATTTCCTGGTGGAACATGATTTTGGTAGCCCTATAGTCATCAAGTGGACATTTGTTCGTATTACTTTAACATATTACTTTGTTGAAATATTGAAGAACTGTTCTTCTACAATCACACTGAATATCCGTTATGCATGCGCATGGGTTCTTTTCATAGCCACATTAGGACCCTCTTTTGTAAAAATTGCCCAAATTTCGCATGCTTTAAATTTTTCTTAACGTAAACTCTAGTTTATATATATTTAGAACTGAAACGTAGCAAACCTGAATAGTTTTTAGATAGCACCTTGTATTTTTTAAGATATATATGAAGTTCAAGTTGACTTCCACTTGGTAAAATAGAGGACCAACCACTTCGTGTTCACTTACCACATGAAGCACAGCATTGCCCAGATACGTTAATTGCAACATACCCCTTAAAAAATGAGAATAATATATTTAGCTTGCTAAAAATGGTTAAATCGTGAGTTTCGTTACGTTGCAGATTTGCCGGGGCACCATCTGAAAATTTAGTGCTCTTAATACCCAATTTCCTAAATGTATATGTCGGTGAAAAAACCTAAACTTAATTCAATTTGAAATCATGATGTTTCAAATTATTTTAGCAAGGTCGCTCAAACAAAATTGATATTATTTTTATACAATTTCTGTTTGAATAAGGTGATTATAAGAATTAAGAAATAATCTATAAGGTCAAGGAATATGTTCAATCTCCCAGAAATTATAGTTATAGGGCGTCAGCTTTCACCGTTATATGTATATGCATGTCTTTTTGCATGATATATATATATATATATATATATATATAAATATATATATATATATATATATGCTGAAAAAACTGAATAGGTGGTTTGATGTATTTATATTGCTTTGGCGTGCTGCATGACAGTGCTTTTGACAGTGAAGATTTTGATATTACCGAAGAAAATATTTCCAATTATATTGTATTATATATCCTGCACTGAGCAGTTTGTACACCTACCTCACGGCAAGTAAGACATTTATTTGTGTCACACTCGACGGTATAGTCATGGTTACAAGTACAATTAGTACAAGTATTCTCACGCCATACGTACCCGACCTGTTAAAATACACGTAACACGTAAGTATTATCGTTAAATACTTGCAATCATGCAGGTCTGCAAAATCAAATATATTGCATGGGTGAACTACTGAATGATAGGCTTTGGATTTAATCAACGAATGCATGACGTCAGGCAGGGTCTTTACAAAATGGTCACTTTTGATTGGTATATGAAAATACCCGCTTATGTATTAAATTGTAGGGTAAACACGGCTTAAACGTCTGTGCACATGATCCAGTTTTGTTGGATCAAACTCATGCCTTTTGATGCATGGGATGTAGTGTGTTTTTGATAAAGCAGTACTGCATTCTTATGATTGGCTTGAGTGGATTTGCTGCCCCTATTCATTGCAAGTCAACACAGTATAAACTATCAGAAGTTATATGAATTTACTTACCTCATAATGACGACCTTTATATGTACAATATTGCACTTGTGTGGTTGGTGTTGTGATGGTTAAAGTTGGAGTAGTGATTGAAACTGTATACATTGTAAAAAAAAGTAATAACATAATGTATAGTTACTATAAATTATGAACAATCATAAACTGCTTTTCCAGACTTACCACATCGAGGGCAACAACGACCAGTAACATTTACCGCTTCGCGGCCCTGCAAAGAGAAAGATGAACTGCTTTCGGAAACAATACGACAATTATGACCTAGACGAACGAAGACTTTGTGTAGTTTAGCAAGTACGTAACGATTACCCTAACGCTAGTAACAGATAAAACATGCACTTTACATGTAAATAATTTACAGACTTACAGCAGGACAGTCCGAACACGTAGCCTTTAAACAATTCACTGTAGCATTTTCACTACAGGAACAATTGGTGCATACGTCTGGGTACCATACTTCGTGGAGCTAAAAGTGAACAATACGCAGTATTGACAGGGTGATAATAATTATCCTAAATTTTGTATTAATAGCTACATATTTGCTCGTGCTTACACTTGCAATTTTTAGGTAGTGTTATCCAGTCTTATCTTATACTTCCAGGACATACATTCCACATTGTATAGTCACCTTATATGTTCCATTCTTAGTTTTGCACTCGGATGGTTCTAAAAAATACAGTTCCAAAAAAATTTAGCGAAGACCACTTCAGAAATGTGAACAGTTGTAAGAAGTTTAGCGTTGACTTATTTCCACGATACCCCTATTTTCTATACCGAGCTAGGGATATTTAAAGATAAGGATAGTTATATTTCAAGTATACGATAACGTTCTTTTTAATTTTCAATTAATACTCTAATGAAATTAAATTTCAGTCGTTTATTCACGCTGAGAAGCTTACCACATTTTCCACAACATTTGCCAGGATCTGCCGGGCGTTCGGTGTATCCCTACGAGAAAATGGACCTTTCACTTAATTACCTAACTTTATTTTCCTAACTCATCTATCATGGTTTTGGGATTTCTGGACAGGGGGGAAATTAATTCGAGGGAGGAAAATTCTTGGAAGATCTACAAATAAATTATATTTTTACTCTCCAACTTCAGTGGAAGATTGCTAACCCCTCCAATTCTAGATGAATTTGGAGCATACGAAAGTTGATTCTGCAGGCTTTTTGAAACTCTTTATATGTGTTGTAATGATGTTTATAAAATAACATGTATATAGCGCGTGTTCTGATTGGTCGAAGCCCGCGTTTGGATCAGGCCATCCAAACACGGAAACCATTAAGTAATTGTATATTACCAACCCATAAACAATTCGTGTAAAGCTACATACCGGTGCACATTTCTGGCAGGTGAAAGTGTCACATATAACTTGCAAATTAGCGTCACACACACATGTCCTGCAAGGAGAAACCTTCCATTCTTCTTCTATCTAATGATTCATGAAGAAATATGTAAAATATGTATTAATGGGTATTTGCAAGAAAAGCATTATTATAGCGTAAGAAACATACTTTGTATTTCTTGCCATTGTGAACACAGAACTGTGGTTCCCAGGGTCTCGTTGTCCAGTTTGGTGTGAAGGGCGTGGTAGTGGTGACTGAAAAATAGGGATAAATGAGAATTTAAAAGAGAATATAACATTTACTTTTAGACCTCATCAATCAAAGTTGCGAGATATATAATGTAGTAATCTGACCATATATAAACTTGCCTGCTACGCATTTACAACATTCGCCCGGACGATTTTGTAGTACATAACCCTATATTGAAACATAAATTATTCACACTTTATTTTTTTCCCTTTATTACCCGTACCTATTACCATCCAATCTTCACTCATAACATCCGTGCAAACAATCCATGCATTCAATTACTAGGTCAACTACAGGCGATACAGGCAACTGCCTACATGGCCCGGTTGTATAAAACTCTTTAACTACATTTTCCATAGTTAGGTGAATCCTAAACTCAGAAACTCTGATTGGCAAATTCTGTCCTTGACTACAGTTTAAAGCTAACTAGTCTTTTATACAACCGCTCCCTGATAATTTGTAATGGTAAATGTACAATCACGAAATCGTATAAACAACTAACATTTGTTTTTGATACGGTATACATACGCAATACCTAGGAATGTGCATTAGGGCGAAACCGCGATGCGACATACCTCTCCGCAACCATCAATTTTGCAAAGATGCCCGCATTTTTTCTTTCCATTTTGACATTTACACGATAAACATTCACCTTCATTCCACATCTCGTGCGGCTGGAAACATACAAAAAATACATAGAATGAAAACGTAATTTCTCTTTCGAGACAAGCGTATTATTTGTAAATATTACAACAACATATAGGCCTTTAATTTGCATAATTTGCATGAGGATTTATATGAGGATTCCTAATCAATGTAATTTCTATGTAATTTTTATATGGCAGTCTTACCTGTCTAATTGTCCCATTTACAACACAGTAGCATTGACTAAGAGTTACACAACTTTTGCCATTGTCGTACGTTCCTTCAGGACATTCACATCCGGGAACACACGTTTTTTCTATACATTCAGTGTTCTCGCACGTTTTTGTGCACGAGCAATTTTTGTACTTCATTCCTGCTCGACATTCTGTAAATTTAAAGTAAAATCAATTGCAAAATCCAAGATCTTCCTGTCAGTTCGTAGTTCTACACACAACTCCCTTATCATCGTCCGATCCACATGATTTATTAAAAAACAACACTCACTAGGTTGACAATAGCAACATGAATCTGGGTTATCGTCAATCAGCTCTTCATCCTAAATGACAATCATTACCCGCGAGTTTAGTTGATTTGTCGATGAACTAAAGTGCTAAGCTACATCATCCGTATTTATCTTTTAAGTATATATCGAGGGCATGCGCCGAATTCAATTTGAATTTTAGACCGTTGAGGTTTGACCTATTCTCGCCGGGTTTATCTTCTCGTGAATCTAGCAACCCGGCTGTGGCCGAAGCACATCAATATGGACAACTTACCTTTGGGCATGTGTCTATGTTGCAACTCGTGGTACAATTGATTTGAGTATTCATTTCGCATCTGCAAACTTTGCATAAACCTTCTTTGAATGTTTCATATATCTAAATGGTAGAATATCAAATATGACTATACTACTCGCGACAAGGGCTGGTCTGCTCAAATGCTATTCTCAGTTATTCGGTGATAAGCTGATCCTAATTTTATAATTATCATATATATCATGTGTATTTTGTATCTGCACCAAGGCCGATATGATGTCGAAATTCATTGTTCTTATATATGCGGTGTTTTCATTCTTACGAGAATTAGGAATTTTTAGACCGCACAACAGTATATGTATATAAATTGGAGAAAGTAGAAAATTTATGACATGGCTAAATCGCGAAATATATTTCATTTTGAGTAATTCAAGGAGAGAAAAACATATTTTTGTTCGTTTCACTTTTAATTTCCAACTCTAGGTATAGTTATGGCGCGTTCGGTTGATTTACGAATCGAAGAAAAATAAAACTTACCTGGTAAGTTGTTCCATTGTGAACACACACAGGGGCAGTTGTAGGAAGGGAGGTAATACTAGTTGTAGTAACATTCGGGGTGGTTTCTGTAAATATATAATAGAAAATACTTTAACTCAGCTATGTCTCAATTACCTAATCTGCCTTAATAATTTAGCTACAAAATTCCTGCTCTACAGGCTACACTCTGTTTCTCATTAATTTTCAAAGACGAAGCGGTCCTTCGAAAGTTGGATGACATTACTTATATACAGTATAGTATAGTGATTTTGCAAAACTTGTGAATTTCTCAAGCCTGTTTTCATGTTTATTATTTGGTTTCTAAAACGGACGAATCGCCGGGCCTTTTTTGGGAAAGTTGAAAATCACTCCCAAGCGGAGAGTAACTCCTAAATTTCGAAAAAAAACAAGTGAACCCATGCAGTCCCAGAGATGTGTATTTTGCAATTCGACTGTGATTCGAAGATGCTGATACAAACTTCATATATACTCACTAAGTCCAACGGCAGAATTTTTAGTTGTTACTGGTTTTCCTGTGCCAGTACGAAAACCTTAAAAAAAATGGGACATATTTTAGAAATCAATCACAAATTTGTTTCCCAATATGGCTAGACTCAAAAGATTAATAAAGTTATTCACTGGATAGTGATTATTTTAAAGATTACCAAATTCTTAACCCATGGCATTGCCATGGCCAAGATTAAACTTCACAATTTTAAAGTTAAAATATAGTTTTGAATATAATTATAAATTTTCTTTAATTATATAGCTTTTAAAGAGTTTTCACGACCGCTGAAAAAAATTAACTATCCAGTAAATACCTTCATCCACCTTTTGATCAACAGGCCCTAGTTTTTGTTTTTTTCTACCGGTGCATGCATGCAGCTGCAATTACAAATCGTACAAACATCGAGAATAGGCGATTAGAATACCATGTTACCAAGTTGCCGCTCAGGTTCTCCCTCAACAATGGAAAAATTATAAATTACTGCGCCCATTAGGCTACTATATACTAAATCTTAATATCGTGCCTTCCCATTGAGGCCTACTACATTTACTGAGCTATGTAAAAGATGCGCTAGTATCAGGCTGACCTTATATCTAATTAAAATAAAAGTTTCGTGGACCATCCCCCGACTGAACCCAAAAAAGCTCAAGAAAGAGTATAAGAGCTGCTTTCCACTTACGCGTTTCTTTACGCGCGGAAAATTTTAAATGTTTTATTTAACACATGGGTCAACAAATGCATACGAAAATATACGGAAAACTATGTTCTTTCGATTCATTCACCTAGCTTTTTCAAATATAACTTATAAGGGATTTAGACTGAAAAACGCGTAAGTGGAAAGCAGCCCTAAGTATGTGCAGTACGTGCATGTCAGCATGTGCTCGGAAAAGGGTTACATAGAATATATTCATTTTTTACGCATGATAAGCTTTCCTTGTGAACACACTATTCGATAATCCTTTTTAACAAACTAAGCTGAACAATCCATACTTCAATAAATCCTATTTGCCCACGATAATTGATAACTAACCTCCTTCTGTGGTTGTACTTTGAGTTGTTGGGGTGGTTTGATTGAAAGTAGCGTTACTGGAGGTGGTGGTTATATTCTTTTCTGTGATAATACTTTGCGTTGTTGGGGTTGTTTGTATTCCAGTAGTAGTAATGGAGGTAGTGGTTATATTCTTTTCTGTGATAATACCTTGGGTTGTTGGAGTGGTACTGGAGGTAGTGGTTATATTCTTTTCTGTGATAATACCTTGGGTTGTTGGAGTGGTACTAGAGGCAGTGGTTATATTAGTTTCTGTGATAATACCTTGAGTTGTTGGAGTGGTACTGGAGGTAGTGGTTATATTCTTTTCTGTGATAATACCTTGGGTTGTTGGAGTGGTACTGGAGGTAGTGGTTATATTCTTTTCTGTGATATTACCTTGAGTTGTTGGAGTGGTACTGGAGGTAGTGGTTATATTCTTTTCTGTGATAATACCTTGGGTTGTTGGAGTGGTACTAGAGGCAGTGGTTATATTTGTTTCTGTGATAATACCTTGAGTTGTTGGAGTGGTACTGGAGGTAGTGGTTATATTCCTTTCTGTGATAATACCTTGGGTTGTTGGAGTGGTACTGGAGGTAGTGGTTATATTCTTTTTTGTGATAATACCTTGAGTTGTTGGAGTGGTACTGGAGGTAGTGGTTACATTCTTTTCTGTGATAATACCTTGGGTTGTTGGAGTGGTACTGGAGGTAGTGGTTATATTTGTTTCTGTGATAATACCTTGAGTTGTTGGAGTGGTACTGGAGGTAGTGGTTATATTTGTTTCTGTGATAATACCTTGGGTTGTTGGAGTGGTACTGGAGGTAGTGGTTATATTCTTTTCTGTGGTAATACCTTGGGTTGTTGGAGTGGTACTGGAGGTAGTGGTTATATTCTTTTCTGTGATATTACCTTGAGTTGTTGGAGTGGTACTGGAGGTAGTGGTTATATTCTTATGAGGTATATTGAAGCAGTTCTGTTCATCTGCTCCATCATCGCAATCTTGAATATCATCGCAAAGCCATGAGATCGGTATGCACTTTTTTTGGTTTCCCCCCAGGCAAATGAAATCTCCAGATTTGCAGCAATTTTTTTCGTCTGAATTATCTGGACAATCTTTGTAGTTGTCACAAAAATAGCTTTTTGGAATGCATATCGGTGGGTTACTATTAGGGCATGCAATATTGCCCTTGTGACATCTCGTTTCTGATGTTGGTGTAGATGAAGGACAATTATATTCGTCCTCCCCAGCCTGACAATCTCTCACCCCATCACACATTTGCCTGCGAAAATTATGCATATGTTGGATTGATTCCAAGACATGTTTTAAGTACTATACAGTTCACATTCCGGTCGACAAGAAAAGTCGACCTGAATGTGAACTGTATATAGTACTTAGCCTATGCAGCTTGGACTATAAATGATTTAGAAAAATTAAAATTTTTAAAAGTTCAAAAGTGAGATACTAACTTGTAGAGATAACATGTCCCATTGTTGCAAGTACGTTCACGACACGTGCAGTTCTGGTATTCATCAGAATTATCCCCACAATCATCCACACTATCGCAGACATTATTGAAGTTTGTGCACTTGCCGTTCTTACATTGGAACTGATTAGGACGGCAAATCGGACAGTTTTGTCTTTCATCGGAATTGTCACCACAGTCATTATACTTATCACACACGTACTTCTTATTGATGCAAGCGCCTATAGCAAATTAATTAAAAACCGCTTCAATAATAAAACAATGGAAATCTAATGGATACGTAGTCAATTACAGAAAGCGTTTTTAGCTCAAACGGTTAAAAAAACTCGGCAAACTATGCATTCTTAACATTCGAGACCAATTATTCCAGTTCATATTATAGTTTTCAACTTGCTAATCTTTAGATTGTGTTTTAAATTATATGTTGTATAGCGCTGGTATTGGTTTTTCGTAGTTAGAGTTACTTTTGTTGGTCGGCCCCTTTCGACGGGCAGTAAGTAATTTACATAGCTATATACCCAAATACCGGGAGACATTGATCGCAAAAGTTAAGGTATGTAAATAATATAACTGATATGTTATTATTACCATTATCACATTGGAAGCCTTCGCATTTCGAAGTTGTAGACGTGATTTTAGGTGTAGTTTTGGGAGCAGTTGTAGTCACTGCTTGCGGACATCCAAACAACCCTAGTCGTAAACAAGGATGAGACCCCCAAGTATCTAGTAAGATCTTCACATAACGAGCCACAAATGGATGACGTAACCTGTTATAGATCGTTGTACGGGCTAGGACGTTTCCAGTGAAATTCTATAAAAATATATTCCAAACATTTAATGAACACCACTATATAATTTTAGGAATACTAAGATTTAAGCAAACTTATACCCAACAACGGGCGATTTTAAAGCGATAGAAAAAAGCTTCTATCAGATGGATAGCGTTATATCCGGCTTTCAAACAGCTGGAACCTGAACACTACCGACTAACGTGCATCATGCAGATTGTTAAATGAGAGAAATGATTCATATTTAAAATTCCTGTGTAAGAAAATATCGTCCTATATGCATGCAATGGTGGATGACCAGATAACGCACATGCATGCTTTGTGAGTAATACAATGAGCTTACATGTTCTGTCCCGTTTTCTTGATAAACAATCCATTTTTTCCCATCAATACTGTAGCTTAGCTTGTATGATTTCGTCCGCTGTGCGTAGATTAAGGGCGATCCTTGAGTAGCAACCCGTGTGATTAGCGCACTTTCCAGTAGTCGCACACTCAGCCACGGTGTTTTATCATGATCAGCAGCACACCATACACCAGCACCAAATTCGTGATGCGTTTCATTAAGACGACCCTCACTGGCTCTCCAGTACGGATTATTTGAGTGTACCGATGAGGATGAGAAGTTCTTGTCAGATATCGCACCTTTAGCCTCTAACAAAGTGCATTGAAATATCACAATTAGTTGTTAAAAAATAGAGGGGGGAAGTAACTACTGTACTAACTAATAAAATACGCAACAACAGAAAAAATCTACAGATATAAGTCATATAACATTTAAGTAATGGTATTTGTTTCTTTAGCAGTAATTTCAGCTAAAACTTACCAACGCCAAGTGCATCTTGACAAATAGGAGTCACATTTGTACAGTTCGCTTCGTCTTCACCACTAGGACAATCTTTCACTTTGTCGCATACCCAACTTTTCAAAATGCATCTGCCGTCTGAACACACATATTCATTTTCCGGACATTTGGACGTTGGTGTTGTGGGACGTTCGTACGGCAAACACTTGGGGCAACAATTTTCAGTCACTATTGTAAATAATGGCGGGAAACAATTTCCGAGTGTCGGGCAAGGTTTTGGGCTACAAGTGACATTGTTGTCCCAGCATGAGCATATCTTGCAGCCTATCGTCCAGACTTTGAGTGGTTCGTGGTAATAACCGTCGTGTATGCATGGACATTCCACACGGCGAATGCAATGACTGCCGTTAAATACTGTATTACTGGGACAATCACATCCTGGTTCACACAGGTTGCCGTTGCTAGTGTTTTTGAAAGTGAAAGACTGGCAAGTGTCCGCCATGTATTGGCATTTTCGAATACACTTCGGGGAACAACTCGTGTACACCTATACGAAAAATTGAAATAAGAAAAGATTGGAATAAATGTATGTTATATACGTAGAAGAAGGATAAATAATATGGCCAGTTTCCACGGATTCACGGATACTCTATAGTCAATGTGAGTGATGTGATTTGGCTTACCAAGTTATTTGGACAAGCAGGTGTCGGGGTCGGGGTCGGCGGCGTTGTTTGAGTTGTAGTTGTTGATGTTGTTGTAAGACAATTGGCCTCATCTGAACCATCATCACAATCTTCATTACCGTCACAAACCTGTAAAATTTTACAGAGTATACAGTTTCTGAGGAGCCCAGTCAATTCTCGCACACGACACTGATATTATTAATTTACATACCCAATCCTTCGCAATACATTTGCAGTTAAGGCATTGGAAGTTACCAAAGCACTTGCTTGAGCATAGGGTTGAGATATTTGTGCTCGCTGTAGTGCTGACAGTGGTGGTTGATCGATTCGTACTTGGTGTTGTGCTAACTGTAGTTGTTGATCCAGTTGTAGTTGTTGATTCGGTTGTACTCGATGTTGTGCTAGCTGTTGTACTACCTGTGGTTGTTGATCCATTTGTACTTGCTGTTGTACTTGCTGTTGTACTAACAGTGGTTGTTGATCCATTTGTACTTGGTGTTGTACTTGCTGTTGTACTAGCAGTGGTTGTTGATCTATTTGTACTTGGTGTTGTTCTTGATGTTGTACTGCCCGTGGTTGTTGATTCCGTTGGTTTTGTGCTTGCTGTTGTACTAACAGTGGTTGTTGATCCATTTGTACTTGGTGTTGTTCTTGATGTTGTACTGCCCGTGGTTGTTGATTCCGTTGGTTTTGTACTTGCTGTTGTACTAGCAGTGGTTGTTGATCCATTTGTACTTGGTGTTGTGCTTGCTGTTGTACTAACAGTGGTTGTTGATCCATTTGTACTTGGTGTTGTTCTTGATGTTGTACTGCCCGTGGTTGTTGATTCCGTTGGTTTTGTACTTGCTGTTGTACTAACAGTGGTTGTTGATCCATTTGTACTTGGTGTTGTACTTGCTGTTGTACTAACAGTGGTTGTTGATCCATTTGTACTTGGTGTTGTTCTTGATGTTGTACTGCCCGTGGTTGTTGATTCCGTTGGTTTTGTACTTGCTGTTGTACTAGCAGTGGTTGTTGATCCATTTGTACTTGGTGTTGTACTTGCTGTTGTACTAACAGTGGTTGTTGATCCATTTGTACTTGGTGTTGTTCTTGATGTTGTACTGCCCGTGGTTGTTGATTCCGTTGGTTTTGTACTTGCTGTTGTACTAGCAGTGGTTGTTGATCCATTTGTACTTGGTGTTGTTCTTGATGTTGTACTGCCCGTGGTTGTTGATTCCGTTGGTTTTGTACTTGCTGTTGTACTAACAGTGGTTGTTGATTCCGTTGGTTTTGTACTTGCTGTTGTACTAGCAGTGGTTGTTGATCTATTTGTACTTGGTGTTGTTCTTGATGTTGTACTGCCCGTGGTTGTTGATTCCGTTGTACTTGGCGTTGTACTTGCTGTTGTACTAACAGTGGTTGTTGATCCATTTGTACTTGGTGTTGTACTCGATGTTGTACTTGGTGTTGTACTCCCTGTGGTTGTTGATTCGGTTGTACTTGATGTTGTGCTCGCTGGGGTTGTGGAAGTAACTAATAAACACAAAAGCTACGTAAACCTGACGGGAACTTATGGTCGATATTAACAATTCTGATCAGATGTACTATTTTAGTTCTGCTCGGAAAAAATGAAAAGTCGTTAATTCTATCACAAAATTTGATATGTGAAAACATCCGGCCATGTCCGCTTTAACCGGTTACGTGGAGAACTACTTTATGTAAATATATGTTACATGTGAATATATGTTCGATATTCTTTAGTCCGACAGTCTCTCACCAAACATCGAACGTGAAGAGTCTTTTCCCCTAGACATCGTCAATCGTCCAGAGAGAGAAGGTCAATCTTTCAGTCAAATGTGGAATAACTCACCTGTTGTTGTACATGTTGGACCTCGACAGTTTAGACAACCATTTTTGCAGACGCTAAAGAGAAAACAGTTGAACGATATTTTTCTGAAAATCGGGGTATTCTATTATGTTGAGTTGCTATTTACTCAGTTCCGATAAATATGTTTCTTTATTCCCTGCCAAAATTATGTTAACGCCACCAAGTAGTATAGGATTTTCTATTGTTTAGGATCGAGATGTTGCCTGTTGGATATAAATTACCTGGATTGGGTTAAACACTGAGAATATTTCAAAGAGACTTAACTACGAACATTATTTCCTCTATCTATCTTCTATCTTAGATATCAATTTCTGTAAATCCACGAAACATTTGCGCATGCCCTAACACTGAAAGTGTATAAATACCATCTCTGACAATTGCTGATAACAAATGCAGTTGCGTTGTACACTTTTCCATGTAAAACACAGGGACAATCTTCTTGCTTTATGCATTTTCCATTGTGCTCGACTGTCCCTTCGGGGCAGTGGCAACCTTCGACGCAGGCCACGGGGCAAACTGCATTTTTTTCACAGGGGCTTGAGCAGGTGTTGGCGCATGCTGGACCACATGACTTGTACGTCATTCCTCCCTCACATTGGACAGCTACGTGTTTTAAAAAAAATATTTTAGTAACCTTGACGTCTATAATAGAACATTAAAAAACGAAAGTATAATCACGATGGTAAGAGATCTCAAAATAACTTTTTGCAAAAGTATATCGTTAGTCAACCTTGTGAATAAAAAAATTATGAGATGCAAGTAATTAGTGACAAGTTGCAATGCAAATGCATGAATTAAGTGAGAACAATATTTTGGTGCTCTACATGTGTAAAACTACAGCGAACGTTTTTGCTACGAAATCTTGAAAATGTGTTCAACTACCACAAAGTTCTTGTGACCTCCATTTGATATGAACACCATGTCGATTACACTCTCTTGCGTAAGCTGCAATTGCTGTACACATACATTCACAATCACCACCTGTATCGCAACCGCAAGCATCATAATAACAAGCTTGGTAGTATTTTTCCGGATCAACCTGTATAGTGAAGGAAAAGACAGTCAACTTTTGTTAAAAACTGTTTCTTGATATTGTGGACAATCAATCATACTTTATCCCAAAAAGAACGGACAATTGCAAGCCTAGCTCGCTTCTTAACGCGCAGGCAAGATAAGTTTTTCTTATACTATAAAGTCATATCAACATATTCTTATATAATTCTGTTTTTATAGTCAAATTTTGACGGATCCACTTCTTAGGTATGGAATGTAGTCTATTAATTATTGATGAAGATGTTCAGTAAAATGGCTCCAGTTGATTTGCTACCCGTATGCATTGCGAGTAAACAAACTTAAGACATTGATAAGAAGTTAGTTATCCGACAAAATTTGATTGTGTGAACAGACCTTAACCATCATACTATGTACTGTCCGATAACAGCTACTCTTCAAATAAGGTAATGTATGCTGTACTTATATAGAGTAATTATTACTTACCACGTCATGACACGGTTTAAAGACACCTCTCTTGATGATACCGCACGTTTTCTGTGACCAGGCAGCTCGTTCTGGATGCACTCTACAAGGGTGCTTTGGCGTTTGGGCTTCGGGACAGAAAGGTGTAATCCTCCAAGTGTCGCCAAAATCACTGGGAGAGACCTCGACTGATCCTGAAGGACTGGTGAAGTCGTCGTTTTGATCATCGTTATAATTGCCACAAAGACCACACGTTTTTCCTGAATATAAAAAAAATATGGAAAATTTTTTAAAAGCACTTAAACATAATTTTGAACAGGCTTTACAGGGTGATTGCAATTAAAATCTTATGTTGTTATTGCAATTTTTTCTTATAATCACTTAGAACTGATCCAGCGCTAGTCAATTTACTGAGGCAAATTTTAAACTTAAAAAGTACGTGAAAATAAGGGTGCAGTTGGCACTAAAATTTAATCTACCAATGCATTTTAAAGGCAATTTAAAAAGTGAAAAAACCCAAATGTATATTAGCAAAATAAGACGACGGATTGCGGAATTTAGTAAAAATGATAGTCCGGGGCCGCGAAAGATCGTTAAGTCGTGGGGGGGGGGGGCAAATATTCATATAAAAAACAATCAATTTTAAAAGAAACTAACAATGCTAAACGTGAATATATGAATATCTCCTACCCCCCCCCCCCTTGATCATCCACGGCCCCTGATGATAGTGAATTCATGTAAGAAAGTAAATATAACACAAACCTCTAAAACTCGTTTCTAAAGTGATGTATATTCTCGTTCCAAAGTCCCATACGATTGTCATTCCTATCTCCGTACGAAGAATAAGAAACAGTCCGCTCTTCTCCAGCTTGTAGTTTGCTTTTTGTATCGACTGTGATGAGCCGGGAAGAGAACTAGCCTTTGGCTCACTTCCCCTCACAAGTTTTATCTGCGTATCGTTCAAAGTGATAGTTATCGACTTGGTACATGTTATTCCAGTGCTACCGCAAGGAACATTCTCTGCCTGCACACGAAAAGAGCCTAGTTCACCACCACATTCGTCTTGAACTAATGTATAATCGCATGCACCGTGGAATTGATACCGCTTGTTGTCGAACGTGGTATAATGGGAGTCCCCATAGACGGAACAGCTTTTTGGACACTGTTTGTGTGTACAATTCCAACTTTTGCCAGTGCAAGTGCTGAAACGCAAAAGGTTTCAACAAAATAATTATTTAACAATTACCAGTATATATAGTTTAGTTTGAGTTGTTTGCAAAAGTTGTGGTCTGTTTTTACACTACAATCCTCTTTTTGAGGGCTTTTAGTTGAATAAAGGTATATAAACAATACGCACCATGTATTGCAGTCCTGCTGATAAGTTTCGCCATTTTTATAACTTCGTCCACCGCGATGACAAGGACATTGTTCAGGATTCACACAATCTCCATTGTGAAGGACTTGGCCTTGAGGACATACGCATCCTTCTTCGCAAAGTGTTTTTGAGCAAGGTAGATGAAGATTTTTGCAGGTTTTTGCACATTCCTTTCCACATGGAACCCAGGCTTGGCCTTTGGGACATACTGTTTCTAGAAATTCGTTACCTATATCTTCTTATTAGTTAATCCGTTATGACATTTTCTATTTCTATTTCTATTACCAAGTATATATATATACGTAGCCCTATTGAATTTACCCTTACATAATATTGATGGAATATATGTGTCCAACTGGTGTTATTACAATTTAAAGACATCAAGTACATATTAACCATGAAGTATATCGTGTAACCACACCCTACACAGTCTAACATGAAAAATATTCCTGTCTTTTTTCCTGATTACATACCTGAACATGTACTGTTATCGCATTCGAAAACACCGTTAACGCATTTGCTGTAAAAGTTAAAAAGGAAATGAAGAAAATGGTTTTTCAGTTTTGTTGATTTTTAGGCCGATTTTTCTAGTCTGATATAGTTTGATGTATGTACCAAACATTTGTAACGTAACTCACCATGAAGTACAGCGGTTTTTCGTTATAACAGAATTTGGTTCGTATTCTTTCCCCCCATGGTGGCAAGAACATTTAGATATTGGAATACATAAATCATCATCATTTAAGAGGGTGCCGTTGGGGCAGAAACATCCAGCTGTGCATTCTTCTTTGCAGTCTGTATTCATCGAGAGATCCCGGCAACTCTTCTTACAGGATGAGCCACATTCACGATACCTTTGGTCAGCAATACCACAATGAATACCTGGGACACAGAGTATTGTTGAGTGAAAAAGGAAAATATGTTACCTGTTTCCAATAATGACTAATGCATTCAGTGAAGCATTGAGCTAAAAGCATCATTGTGTTATTTCTTCTTATCAATGCTGTTTTTCTTGATATCCCATAGGGTATAAAGACAAAAGTTCTAATCCTACCTCATCAGTATAATGACGCACATTGCCGTAATAATACCCTGTAATGGACTGTGATATTTCGAATCCTACAATCTTCACTACAGTACTTACTGCATTCAGGCGAAATGGAAGGATTTCTCCAGTCAATTTCCACGCCATGTCTTGCACAAGCATGTGTATACGACGCAATTGCAGAACATAGACACTTGGTGCCATCCTGACATCCGCACACATCATATTTACAGCTTTGGAAGTATCCTTCATCAATGTTAACCACATGATGGCATTTGGTGAACGGAGCTTTCTTCAAAATGTTGCACATTCTTTCAGCTTCGTCCCTTCTTTGCACGTGAGCCTTGCATGGGTGGGTATGATCTCTGACAACTGATTTACAACTTGGGTCCATCTTCCAAGATTCACCAAACAGCGCAACGTCAGTTTCAATGTTATTTTCAATGGTTGTGAAGTCATCGTCTTGATTTTTGTTAAAGTTTCCGCAAAGACCCCTAGTTTTGCCACTCCAGTGACTTTGAACTATGACATACACGGTGCTGATACCATCCCACGTTATTTCGACACCAATATCGGATGTCACTCGGGTCATAAATGATGATCTGTCCACGGTAATACCTGCAATGATAACATCAAAAGACGTTAGTCACGTGCATACAGTGCTTGGCACTTACCATTTTCAAACATGAGCCGCTAGATCGATTTAGATATTTCTGTGCACGCCTTTTTGTGGCACCGTTGCTGTTAAACCAGCGAAGTTGACATTACCGTTTTGTTTGTATGGAAACATAATCAGGTCCTGTCCATTGATTTCTACTTGACTGCCTCTTTTTAAGTACACTTTGGTGATGTTGAAATGTACAGTCACTGTCTTTGTACACGCTTGAGTATTATCTGCTCCACAAGGAAAGTTATCGACAACCACAAGGAAAGTGTCTGCCACGGCGTCTTGGGCAAGGACATATTTACATTGACCCATGAATGAGAAATACTTGCCATCAAAAGTTCGGTAATGCGGGTCGCCTGTTGCTGAACATATTCCTAAGTATATTCAACAAAGTATGTCGAACATTTTTAATCAGTAGTGCCAGCGGTACCGCAATAATAAAACCAATCAAAAAAAATGTGAAGTAGAGAGCTTCACTCATATCATTCAGATTACAGAATAGCTTAAACTAGCCGATCTTCCAAAGAATCCTGACTACAGATTTTTTTACTAGCTAGCTATTGAGGTAGCAATATTTTCCACTAAATATTGAATTTACTAAATATGAATGTGCAAAAACATGGTTATTTTTCTTGAAAAACACTCCCTGAGAAATTCTACGATTGAAAATACCATTAAGATTTTTATCCCTTCTATATATACGCAAACCCTTTAATGTCTAATACGTACTTACCCGGACACATTCTATTAGTGCATTTCCAACGACCTTCAGTACAATAACTAAAATTAAAAGTTCAATAGAATGTACGTTAGTTGCATGGTTTCAAAAATATTTATAATTGTCCAAGTGCAAATTGACAAAAAGGACGATATTGTCAGGGCTTACCAATCATTACAGTCAACCGGTATTCGTGCGAGTGGTTTATGCCAAATTTTATTGTGTTCACATGGACATTCTTCTAACTTGTAACAACGTCCATTCTGCAGAACTGTTCCCGTAGGACAATGACATCCATCCACGCATTGCTCTTTACAATGGAATCTCGACTTACCGAAACCGGCGCATGTTTGTGGACAGGCTGATCCACATGGTGTATACAGCATACCATTTTTACATTGCACAGCTATAAAGAATTGAATGAAATTTCATAAGATATCATGTACTTACGTACATGCGGAAACTGCAATACTTGTAAGGCGAATAAGAGCTAAGATTTGAGATTTGAGATTTTTAGGATAGAGACAATACCAATTTGACACATCAATGAATGGTGTAACTGGTGTTATTACACTTATGTTCCGATCCGGTGGCGGAATATTATGGTATAATTTGTTGACAATTAAGGAACATGTTGCTGATGTTTGAAAAATAGAAAGTTCACAAATGAGATTGATTGGTTACTTTCTGCATCAAAATCACTTACGGCAAAGATCTTTCTTCCTCCATACAATCGGCACTCCTTCTTTAGCGCATGCTCTCTCGTATTGTGTCAATGAATCGCATATACAGTTTGGGTCTGACGTTATATTGCAAGCGCAAACATCCTCCTCACACATCTCTATAAAACGTTGAGGATTCAGGCTTCCATGACAGAGGCTGAAGGGAAAGTCGTTCAAGACTCCACACATTCCTCGAACCTTATTCAGTTCGATTTCACTCTTTTTGCTACAGGGAAAACGGACTTCGTTCTCTGGTATATTTCGACATTTCTCATTTACACCCGGCCTGCTCCAGCTGTTACCAAATCTTGCGACTGAAGTTGTGATCTTTCCATCTGGGGTTTTCATGTCATCATCTGGGATGCCGTTAAAGTTTCCACACAGACCACACGTGGTATTCCTAAACGCCTCAGGCACACGTATATAAACTCCACTATGGCCATCCCATCTAATGCTTATATCTTTGTATCCATAGAGTAAAATGTAACCTGCAACCCTTTGTATCACGATACTATTCTTGAAATACGGCGGTGAAACTTCTTTGCCATCGATTGTTACACGGTCTGATTCAAGCTGCAGTAAATAAACAAAACGAATTAGGTTTTTCAATCTTTGTACTAGCAAATAAGTTGATTAAACATTTTGGTTGTACGGCGCTGATTCCTAAAATTGTGAGTAGTTGCTTAGCCTACCTTGATAACTAGTTCCCCCATGTAAAGGCGCACTGAGCGGGCACAATCCGCAAGATCGCTGCATTTCGGATCATTTGCTACTTGGATACTGTCTCCGCCATCACAAGCTTGAAGCAAGTTATATGTGCACTTCCCAGGATAGTAAAAATATTTGCCATCAAATGTCTTGTAGTGAGTTTGACCAAACGTAAAGCACAGATTTGGATCGTGATGGACTGGCGAAACTGTGCAAAAGAAAAAGAAAAGTAATAACTATATGGTATTTTCAATAATGTTGTTGTTTCAATCTCATTTTCACACATACGAAATCCATGTATGCATGAATACTACCTTTGAAATACACAGTAAAATAATTTGTTCATACAAATAAGTGTTTATCTTGTTTCCACATTCTGGGAGCAAATAATGTCATGGCATTTGGTGAATCTATTTTTATCTTTAAAATTTCTTTAATATCTATTTTGCTGATCCCGCTTTTTTGTGAATGCCAATGATATACGTAGAAAACCTGAATCAAATTAGTATAACGTAACCTGCCTGATGATTTAGTTCCGATCATGCAGTATGCACTAATATTTTTGTGTTGAATGACTGAGAAGGCAATGAAATTCTAAACAAGTGAATATTTATAATATTTTCGGGGTACAGCAGCACTAAATCCTCCTCCTGCAGGCTGGCTACACGCCTCCGATCGCAGTTGCTGTCTCTATTGATACAGCTTTATAATAAAAGCTATATTCCGTACAAACAACATACCTCCGAATGTTGGTGCCGCTGTTGTTGTGATGATTGCTATAGAAAGAAACAACGTGACATTGGAGTTGATATTCAGAACCTTTTTTAGAGAATATCCACTTTGTGGAACTGATCTTTTTCTCATTAGATAATAGAAAGAAACTCCTCCTCATACATGCTTCATTTCATGGAGTCAAACTGAACAGATTGATACATTTCAACGTGCAAGGAATCGGTGAATCAAGAACGCATATGTACTTACAAAGTTCGCAATTCCGTCCTCCCGTTCCTGGAGGGCAACTGCATTTATCGGGTAAAACACATCTTCCATGCCCGCAACCACCCGTGCACACCGCTAAACATGATTAGAAAGCATATTTTACGCAAATACCGAGTATATATCTCCTTTAAATTCTCACGCACCTCTGCAAAATCTAGTTATTGTATGGCAAACTCTCCGTTAAGACAATACTTTACCACGCGTGAATCCTAATCTAACATTTCCTTAATTTTGACGTCGTTATTAGCTCATATATTTACATGCATCTCGTTGTTCGTATTGATAAAAACTAGAATACGCTCACCTTTCTCGCAGATTGGACCAGTCCACCCACTTGCACAAAGGCAATTTCCTGCACGACATGTTCCACCATTTTCACACGGAACGCGACAAAAATCTTCACAGAAAAATGGAAAAAGAGCGTAAGCGCGCAATTATATTATAATGATACTAACGGTGATAATCGTGCTTGATTGTAACTCGTGTGTCGAATTAGACAATTCCCAAATACTCGAATTATATACCTGTATCACATTGAGGACCTGTGTAGTATGGTGGACAAGAGCATGTATCTGGAGCAACACATGTACCGGTATTCTTACAAGCTTTACTGCAGATTGCTGCAAAGAAAATAAGGGATATTTTTGCGATTTTCTCACCAAGCGAATTGAAACCAAGGGCGCAATTCTCATTCAATGCGAATGGTTCAAATAGCAATACTGAATGTGAACTATACCATAACGTCTTCTGCATGTTACCTTTGTGGCATTTAGTTCCTTCCCATCCTTTATCACACGCGCATTGTCCAGGTTTGATGCATGTTCCATGTAGACAACCCTGCCTACAGATTGCTGGAAAATGGTAAAAAAATATGATGTACCGTTGTGCGAAAACTGGATAGCGATCCACCAAACATGGTTTTTCTTTCGCTCTAAAGACCCGTTCTCACAACCCAACTCTGCCGGATCCAATTCACTTAATTCTGGCGTATGGAATGAACTTCGTTATTGATAAAGAAGCATAGCATTGGTTTTATTGGAATTGCTGCTCATGTAGGCCCATAACATTACAATTCAACGGACTGTAAAACATCCATCAAAAGTGAGTTGGACAAAATTGGATCGTGTAAACAGAACTTAAAATTGCCCGTTGTTCTGAATTACTTTAATACCTTATAGTATTCTTAAATTGGTGATTCTCTTTATAATATAATTCTCAGTTCAAAAGCTGTGTTTTCACGTCTATCCGTATTCCTGCTTTCGTACAACCGGCACCAGGTTGTGCCACGAAAGAAAGTTGGGACATTAAGCTTCGTTACAGTATTATTATATAAAGAAACAGGTCAATACCACATGATGTTTAGTGAATTATATGGTATACTACAACCACAACTGTTGTACTTTTACTTAAGCGTATTGAACTAACTTACGTTTTTCACAATAACTTCCTTCATATAAACCAGACTGACAGAAGCAAATGTTATTCTGACAAATTCCATTGTTTTGACATGCCGGGATGCAGGCAACTGCAACAAGAAGAATCGCTTGTTAGTTGTTATTGTTATATAATAATATTCATTCGTGATTTCTCATACACCAAATCCGGGCGAGGATGATATATTCATGAGTTGTCAGCTACATCGTATTCATATTATGTCGAGTTTAACATGGGAAGTTGACAATCGTAACAGCTTGTGAAATTAATTTAAAATCTTGAGGGCATATAACATGATCTTCACAGTGGTGTAGTCTTTCGATTTCCGACAATACCATGTGCTTGTTTGGTTTCAGTAAAACTTATTCTAAAACCTCAAAATCATCCTCTTACCGGCAAAGCTGCGCCGAAGTGCGTTTGCATAGCGAATATCAATTAGGCCAGTCATGCCGGGTGTCGGTTAAAGTGGAGCACATGCACCTATGCCTATGTCTTACCTTCGCATCTTGTCCTGTCGCTTCTTGGCGCTTGACCATCTGGACACGTTAAACATCTGGTACTGCCTCTGTTTGGTTGGTATTCACTATCTGGACACTTTATACAACGGTCTTGATTTCTATCGTGATAGGACTGAGCCGCACATGGTTCTGTTCAGGAAAATTAAGAAAACAATGTAAACGCTGCTGGGGGTGTTGTACTCATCGACGACAACACTAAACGTCACCAAAATTAAAAAGTGTACACTGTACATTCAACCATAACTGCTGTAGTCAACATAAACAGTCTCTGGTCTTCGAACGGCATATAACAGATATGGTCAGCTTAATTCATTTGCATGTTTTCTTTTGAATTTTGACTGCATAACTGTTAGCTATTTCAATTCTAAAGAAAACATGCAAATATTTCGGAAACAAGTGATTGGGAAATCCGCCTAAAATCTAGTTCATACGTTGCATGTTGGTAGGCGTCGAAGGCAATTCAAACAATAGATAATGAGATATGGTAAACCACGTTTATCCTCATTATTTTCTCATTGATCTCTTGCTTGAATTGCATTCGAAACGACCATGCAAAATGCAACGTACTGTATAAATTAGGCCGTATAAACTGAGCCAAACTCATGTAATTTAGGTCCACATGTTGTTGATCAGATAGTATTATGTAATTAGATAGTGTTGATCACATGTTGTTGATCAGATAGTATTATGTATAGTAATACAGTCTGCGCGCAAGCATAACAATATCAGTCAATATGATCATAATGCAGATTTACATGTTCTGACGGGCAGTTCTGTCATCTTAGATATGCTGCTCGGCTTCATTTTAGTGGAAAATCCCTATGCAGTCCTATGCAAATTCAAACGCAAAAACGAGAAAAAGAGTGTAAAAAAAATAAAAAAATGCGAAAACCTTTCTTTATTATGAGTACCCAGTACGGTCTATATATTTTCGTATTTTTATCCCATGCATGTAAGTAGTTACAAACCTCTTTCAAACCAGGTAGTCATATAGATTATAGCACCTATAAACGAAACCAAAACTTACGGCATCTTCCATTTCTAGCAGCAACTGAGCCTGGAGCACAGCAAGTCGACGAAATATTCAGGCCAGCAGAATCTTTAGTAACCTCTGTTGCTCCATACGATGAATACGGTCCTTCGATTTTTGGAGCCTTTTCAGGGTGATCAACTACAGATTGAAGTACATTTGCTTGTGCAACACAGGTGGCAAAATCCCATTTACGGTATCCAACGTCCACCAAATATTCCAGCGATGCCTCGATCTTGTAGCCAGATGATACTGAGACTTGCACAGTTCCAAGTCTGAGAGTTGCTTTACCTTTGCATTTACTTTTTAGTTCATTTTCTCCAATATCAACAAGTTGTTGCATAATGAGTCTTGCCTGGGAGACATTGAGTGTGACGGTGTCGGATGATACGGTCCCATACTTAACCACGATGTTCTCTTTAACACAACTCTCTTTATCATTTAATCTTATACCTGAAAAAGCAAGTGCACATTATGTATGTTACTTGCATCGTGTATAATAATTTTGCATGGGTGTATGAATAATCTATGACGTATATACACTTGCAAGTTTAAGTGTCTGAATGGTAATGAAAAAATAGGAGTTAAAACCAATATATATTCCGAAGTCGTGTAAAATTCAGTAAAATTATTTTATTTTTTTCATCGACAACTAAGTCTAAAACAGTCACCACTACCTGCAACTTTTCAACATTTCATTTCTATTATTGCCTTACTACATATTATTGCCTTACTACATGTATTATATCAAATGATTTCAGATTTTCAGTCACAATTCACTGGTACCAGAAATTTAAGTAGCAGACTTGAAGAGCATTTTTTATGAGTTAGGGGTTTGTTATATATGTATTAGAACATTCTTAAGGAAGAATGGAGAGAGACGCGACTTTCAGGCCTATGAATGAATTTTTTACCCAAATATATATTACCCAGTGTATGCACTCTTGAGACTACTACTGTTTGCATGGTGCATCAAGCAGTGCCAGGCACCCTCGTTCGGTTTATTTGCACCAGTGTAAAGAAAGTGCCTCGAGGATTATAAATACATTTTTGTCATTGAACGCATTCCTGCGCTCAAGTATTCATTGTCATAGTACTAATGCACAATCGTCGTGATGAACGTGGCGGATTTGGAAGTCCTGTTTGGTTATTAATTTCATCATAAACAAAAACTCTCCAAGTGTACCTTCTGGCAAAAGTGCGGCAAGGACAGCGAAATGTGCGGTGTGGGGTGGTGAGGTGAGGAGGAGGGGAGGGGAGTGAGGGAGGATTCCACGGTGACCCTACATTTTTTAAATGACTTATAGTATTATTTAATATGTACGTACGTGTTACGCAGCTTGTTCCAGTAAATCCAATGGGGCAAACACAGCGGTTGTTCGCATCACATGTTCCTCCATTAAGACAATAACACTTTGTATTATAAACTGAAAGTGTGAGAGAGAATAAATCGTATAAAATTAAAAATCCATAGTTATCGACGTCTGATTGTATATTGGGAGTTGAAATATTATAGATTCGATTAAATATTATACAGGTTTAGCGACTGCTCAAAATATAAATAAACTTCTCGACCAATAATCTCAGTCAGGAGGCAATAACCGTGAAATATTGTTATTTAAGTGGAGGGTGGGGGGGGGGTGTTATCTTCGTGTTAACAGATCGTAAAAACAATCAATTTGAAAAAAAATGTATAATGCAGAACGCGAATATATAAATATTTACAATCCCCCCCCCCCACTTAACTACCTTTGCGACCACTGTCAGGAGAGTCATTCTATGCTTGGCGAGGGCCTATAGTCCCCAGTATACTTAACGGCAACAATAATTTTGTGTTGTTAAACGTCTGCTTACTGTCAGTTTGCTAGTCCGTTTTGGCAATACTCAAGCAACAATGTTCATTCAATGTTCGGCCGCATGATAAATTGATAATAGACCTGAGAGAACTAGAGTACCTGGTTTAAGGCATTTCTTTCCGAAGCACGTTGAAGGGCAACACTTTTCACCTCTTTTACAATCTGAATCATTTTGGCACTGATCTTTACAACGAATTGCGAAACGTCCTGGGCTTGAATAATGTGGGCACGATCCGGGATTGCTTCCTTGAAAAGAATCAACAAAAAGATGATTGAAAAATAGTCGTTTTCGTCTATTTAGGATTTTAGAATCGATCTAGGAAAAACGTCTTTATGGGAAAAGGTTCAATTGATATGTCACTGCAAAGTGCAGTATCCTTACTTAGGTTTTGTCTTTTGAAGTTGTTCCCTTCTCCTGGATCATCAACAGCTATAAAGTAGAATAAATAAAAAATATTTACTTGTTGTTGCAATGTTTATGTTTATGTTTATGTTGCAATGTTGTTAAAATGTTGCTTCAATAAAAGCTTAATTTAGAGTTGAGACAGAGTTGGGTCATTATCTATTTCGACAGATTAATCAATTTATTGTCAGTTAACAATTTGTCCGATCCCCTTCATGATGCATGGCATTTAATTTCAGCCGTAACATGCAGGTGGACTTCTAATCAGTATAAAAATTCTGTGCAAATGAATTGATCAACTCCATATTACTCAGTTCTACCCAGAGAGACATCATATAAAGCGTTAGGCTATACGTACGTGTCATACAATCGTCTCCTGCCCAACCATCGCAACACCGTTCAACCGTCCGAAATAGAGTCTTTGATACCATGTGTTTTGTCGGCACGATGACTTTTCTATCAATTGATATACGAATTATATAGTTAACAATTTCACTTTTGATCAGTCTTGACTTCGCAATCTATGGTGATGCATTTTCGTACATATGCAGGCGTTGTGAATAAATGACTTTAACATAGAGTCGAAATATTTAAAATTGTATATGTTGTCTTGTTGTGAAGCCCAAATTCTGGTTTTACAAGATGATTTTAATGTCCTTTTTTATAGCGCAAATGTATTTTAACTGGAAAAATCATACGATTCACATCGCATAAAATAAGTCAGAAAAGCATACAGTCATAATAGTTTTCCGAAGAACTACGTGTTCGAAAAAAAACTTTACGGAAATTGCGTTTGCATGCATATGTATTGATTTTATACTTGATATGATTAACATTCCGAATTTCACTATTGGTGAAAGTCAGTAAAGATGGTTATGGATTTTTTTAAGTTTTATTATGAAGTGTAATGTTACACTAGTTACATATATTTGCATATAAAAAACATCAAGAGATGAATATCTCGGGAAGCAAATCATTTCACAGCCACAGGTGATCTTTATACAGTGCAACCATAAAGGCAACATGAGTTCTGAACACTGATTAAGCGAAAGTATTGTGCAAGTATAGCTATCGATGAACTCATGAGAATTACTTGAAACCAGATGTTGCGTTGTCACAGAATCACAGTCTTAATAAATTGACCTGCATTAAAGGCCGACAACTTAAGAATGCATTATTGCATATATTCTGGCTGGCAATGATACATAATACATAATACAGGCAGGTGTGGTCGTCTAATAGACCTACCATTTGTCAAAGTTGAAGGTTTGAACGTCGCCAATATTTTAATCTGGGGTTGCGTTGAGTTGCAACAACATGCACGCGCACGTAAAGGATTTGTGCGGGTATTATTTGAGATGGAATGTCCGAATGATCTAGAATCTCCGGAAAAAGTGTTGTGACATTAAATGCTTCACGCCTACACCCTATCCCATTGTTCCCATTATGCTAGCTTGTGCAATCAGTGTTTCTTCTAAGCTTCTAACTTGATCTTTATAACGACGACAGTTGAGGAAGGGGAAAAATTTATGATCAAATACATAAGTGTTAGATTGGCAGTGTCCCAACTATTTTTGTCTGAAGTTTTAATCTTCTTGCATGGCGGACGCTTTTAAATATAGCTTCAAGCCTTCAATTCAGTCCCCAAAGAGCAAGTTTTCGAGTTAAACGTCCGCAAAGAAGAGTGAGTCTGAGTCTGTCTGACTAAATCTCTCGTGTTTCTTATTTCCATGTATAGCTCCAGTCCATTTACATTTACTTTCAGTATTTCTTTTTGGTACGACTTTTTCAGTAATTAAACCGGTTGAAGTGTTTAGACGGGAAAATATTTGAAATGTTTTTAGTACTAGTTTCCCCCCTTTTTTTTGCGTAGCACTTGATAGTGATGAGACATATCTATCATCTTTATATATGCTCCATTTCCTGTATTATATGAAACTTATGTTTCTTGTTCATTTGATTCATTTCTACATGCATGTATATTACGTTCTGCATCGGTCTAAAGCAGTCTTACTTTCTGAAGCGCTGATAATAAACACATTTTCTGATCCTTATAATGAACCTAACAATATGTTGTAGTCTTGTAAAGGAAAACAGAGTCATTCACGGCATTCATTAACGATTCTAATCGATTCTATAGTCTAGTATTTCATGACAGTCAGTTCAAGACAAAGAAACCGTTTATAGTTATTTTATGCTGCATATTTTCACTGGCTTTTAACCTTAAGTTTAAACAAAAAATTAACCCCAATACAATACAAGCAGTGTCGTATAACCACTAATAGACAATACATTGGACAAGGCAAAACTAAATTGGGAAGTTAAAGGTCAATACGAAGTGCAGGAGGAGCACCAACATCATGCCACAGCAGAGGGCAGCAGAGCCTGGAAACACGAAACCTTTGAAGTGGAGTATGTGAAAGATAAAATTGCTGCATCAAAGGAAACCTGTTTAACATTAGTATCTTAGACAAAGGTAATCAAATGTGTCTTGCCGCCTGGCCAATCACAAACTGCTTGGAGTTCTTGGAGTGTGATTGGCTCTAATATCAACAAAAAAAACTCAAACAACATATAAAAAACTAAGGCTATATTGCGACTGTTTGGTTTTCAAGGGATCGCTGTGTCTCGCGGTGTAATTAGATATAGTAAGTACAACTTGTGATTTTCGGGAGGCGGCGATGACCTGCTGAGAACAAAACGTGTTCGAGCATGTTTAAAAATGGGGGCGTCATGTGGAATTCAGTAGTGTGTGCTCATTGCGGATGTCTATCGCCAAGAAGATTTCGTATTGCGAAAACACCGCGCTGGGATAAATTTACATTTACTGCGTGTGAGAGCACTTAACACCTTGGAAACAACGAGGAAGTTGTGAAGAACAAATAGCTAGTCAATCAGCCTTATAGTTTAATCCATTTTAAAAAGACACGCGATTAAGGTATTTGCTTTTATTGTCTGTATTGACACTATCTCGGCGTAATGTTTATGTAAATGAGCTTCAATGTTCCTAAGAACCAGCCGTTCCATTTTTTCTGTGATCGACCTTTGGTGAATAAAATGCTTCGTTTGCCCAAGGTAATACAATTGCATGTAGTACGACTGTGAAGAAGGCCATATCATAGACATAGTGACAACAAGGAAAATTAAAGTGCACTATAGCTAACAGCATTGCACGAATTTTACCAAAATTGCTTGAGGTAATTAAAATTTTTAGCATTTTTCCAAACTATTCATGTTTCGAAAGTATCCCGATTAAGTTGATAAGTTCGATTTTGTAATATTAGGAAGCATCCCCCACGGGGAACTCCACGAGTTCCTGAGTCTAAAATAACAGCTCATTAGCTTAAATACAAATAAACTAAAAACTAAATAGGCTCGCACAACGAATATATTGATAAAAATGTTTGAATCGTAAAAGGGTAACTTATACCTGAACACCTCGCACATATCTCGCTTCGTCCTAGTTTCTGGACCTCCATTCAAATCAGAACAAGGAATTGTAAAAGCTTTTGTTTCTGTTTTGTTGAAAACTTCCTCTACTTCGGCTGTGTAAGGCTCGGTGAATTCGCAAAAATTTGGTTTCCTTTTCGGATCCTGAGAACGGGTTTCCGATAGTTTGTCCAGTTCGTTCAACCTATGTAAAAATCTAGTCTAAGAAATATGCTAATGATGCTTCCTTTCCTAATCGTACTAAAGCCAAATAGGAAGTATATACTGATGTACTAAAAGTGTGGTGCTAAATGTCAGCACACGTTTCTTATGTGGGTTCAGAGGGCTTGCAGCACTGAATATCAAAAGGCGTATCAAAATTAATTTCATACTACTCTCGGATTCGAAAGGTTTCCCACTTTAAATGGGGTACTATCCAGCTGTCATAATTAATTAATGTCAATATGTGGCAGACAGTGTTTAATTCCGCATTGACACACAAGAAATTGTCTACAGATTTATTCTGGACACAAATTTGTTCAGATGGTATTCTGGACACAAATGTGTTTGCAAATTCCATTTGTGAATACCATCAGATATATGACCACTATTCAGTAGAAAATAGACAACGAGAAATTAAAAGATGCATGAAAATATAAAAAAAAATGCTTACAACGCTTCTTCTTCATCGAGATCAATAGTTTTTCCTATGCTGATGGTAAAATCGAAAAATAATAAGACTGAAAATAAAAGACACGTTCTCTCCATAACCAACATGATTGAGGTGCCAATGGCACTGCACAGTAATCTAGGAACCTTGTTGTTGATTTCCCAGTACTTTTTTATCCTGCCGACCTTTCGATTTAGAAATGAAGGTCAAATCTCGAACAACTTTGCGCCACCAGTTCTACGTATACTGAATAATGAATTGCTTGAAAATGTACACCTCAAATTTATATGTATTCTACCTTATGATATGCGTGCGTCTCATTCAATACACCCACGCGCGCGTTCGCAGGAAGTTACGTCATTAGTGCATATAGTTGACTTTCAGGCGGAAGGTTTAAAGCAAGGTTGTCGTGGAAGGTTGTGGATGCGTGGGTGGGTAGGTACTCTCTGCCCGCGGAAAAATAAACCTAATATCATCGTGTATGCAATACGCATGCCTTCTGCCAATCAGAAGAAAATCAATCAAATCACAGATCGAATAGTCTCATGATTGACTATTCGTTCGCGAGAGCCGTTTTACTAAATATATTTCGCATTCAAGATACAAGCTATAAAAAATTATATAAAAATGTAATAAAGATAATAACACCCTAATCATGCACTTTATTATAATACGGGGCTTAATTATAAGATTCACAACGCGACCAGCTCGACGAGAACAATGAGTAAGGTTTCGTGTTGTTGGTTTTCTTAAGTAGCTCGGACCAAAACTATTCAGTGACCGATTTAAATTTTAAACAATCATCTTAAACAACATAAATCACATTGTTTCGATTGTAGTGCAATTTGTGCGCGACTGCGTGTTTCCTGTTATTAACATTTCTACTTCAGGGCCTTTTTTAACTATATAACTAGGGGGGGGGCGAATATATATGTATATCATGACGCAAGGCCCTTTTATAATTTCGGGTATTGAGTGTATTACCCAATACATCAAAATGTATCTTTTTACAACATGTCATTGTCTCTCATCAACGAGATCAGCAATCATTTTTGATCATACGTTTCATAGTTGTTCTACACTTTGAATCTATTTTAGTGATATAATTACAATGTTCCGTGAAATTTGTATGTTTTTGTGCGTAGCTAAATCTTTTCATTGTTTGAATTTTTATCCTGAATTCATCATTTTCGGTCATTGTGGTTTAGGCAGTGTAATGAATAAATAATGAATATATATGGCATCTCAATGAGTCAGAACAATTTGGATTATGAATCATCTTCACCAAGCTATTTAACTGGCTTGAACAGGAGCTATATTATATAGTGTTATTCAGAAGAGGTCCATGCACTAATAATATAAACTTCTGTAGAAAAACCTTCTGTGTTGTCGACTTTCATGGATATTTAGTGAGGCGTCTTTTTAGAAACACTTCAGTATTAATTGGCATGTGAAGGAAGTAAAATGACTGACTTTGAGTGGATTTAAAATCAGGTTTAACCGCAATCCTTGGTGAAAATAAATACCAAAAAGATTTTGTGCTACGTACTACTTGCAATTCCAACACTGGCCATTCTGAAGGTCCACATGCGTGCATGTATATTTAGACTATAGTTTTACCAATTCAACTACCAGAATATTTGGTGCCAGATAACATCATTCTTATCACTTAGTTCAGTTAGTGCATGTGAGACATTATACATTAGGAGAGCCCAGTTGGCCCTCCCAAGTCGATTCATTCCTACGTACGTCAATCAACGCCGGTTTGACCATTTTTGTCGCTTAAAGGAAAGCTCCCTTAGACAATGAGGTCTCAACTCCCTACAACAGAGGCACAGAGCTGGCTCAGCCTGCATGGCTGACATACATATTTGCGGACAATATTTAACGGAAACAATTAGTGCAACGTAAGTTGTAAAAATACATTTTTTTCAGTATTTCTCCATATTTCCGCATTCCAATATCCATTTATATTGACGGCTAAATTTGTCTTATTGTTTTATAACCATAGCCAAGTCACGTAAGTTTGCATTACCGTCTTTACCGTATTGAATATACTAGTGGGTTGGGTAAATTTAAGAAAAAAAAAGCTTAGTTAGAAAATGAAAAATTTTAAGTAAGTGACAATTGGGATTAGGTCACACAAACATTTTAATTGATTTATGTTATAAATAACATTTAAATCGTTGTTTATAATTGGATATTTCGTGTAATTGCAAATCAATTTGCATGAACGACTAAAACGTAAAATACTGCAATACATGGTTTATCTGGTCATCTGCGTTTTCCTTCGTGTTGCTCAAAGTTAAAATCGTTATTTTCACCCAGCTCTCGTTAAACCTTTAGGTGATGGCAAGTGCTGCGGGAAATGAAGTAAAGCTATATGGTATTTGCATTTATGTTAATTGATATTTCGTGCAATTGCAAATAGTAATATGAACGACTATAACATAAAATACTGGTTTATCTGGACGTCTGCGTTTTTCTTAATGTTGTTCAAAGTTTAAATCGTAATTTTTACCTAGCTCTCGTTAAACCAATAAAACCATTAGATGATATGGCAAGTGCCGTGTAGAATGAAGTAGCCATGGTATTCCCTAAGATAACCCGGGTCCGCAAGGTATCAATGGTATTTTCAAAGCCAGAGAAATTTTGAAATACAATGAGTTTTTTAGACTTCTCTCGAGTGAAACATGGGAAATATTTCACTAGTGAAATATGGAAAATCTGCTGTGTTCTAGTTTTTGATAAAACGCACACCTATGTAAAAAAAACAACATCACACTAATTCTTTGTGTGTTTTTGTATTGCCTTTTTGTTTTCTTTGTTCTCTTGACTGATCTAATGACAATTTGGCTTCAAATATTTGCATGTATTTGAATGACGTTCTCATCATGTTCTTATCACCTCCCGGCATTTTGAACGCCGGTTTTGTGGTGTGATCAGATAATAAAAATACGTGTTTCATTATCTGAGGTTTATAGTTTATAGCAAAAAATGCCTTATGTCCAAAATTACTTACGTCCAAAATGCCCAAAACTACTGCAAGCTCGGTCTTGCACCACCAGATGAAATTATTATACTAGCTCGAAGAGATCTTAACTGATTTGATCAAATCCATATCCTTGAAATGGGCAGACCCGGCACGATTTTTCTTAGAACGCCGCACGCATCTTAAGCCCTAATTCCACGGGCTAAATTTTCGAGCGAAATGCGAAATATTTCGCCTGCTTCTTTTCAATTGTGAGCAATGAAGCAGAATTAATTTATTCAATTGGTCGAAATTCAAAAGAAACAGCAAAATATTTCGCCTTTTCGACGACAAAAAGCGCCCGTGAAATTAGGCCCTTACATTGCGTTCTCGTCGACTTTTATACAATTTACTGAACTTACGAATAACGTCATCATCATCTCAGAATGAATGAGGTAACTAAACATGCACATTAAGACTGGATAGAACAACAATTACATGAGTAAAAGCGATCATAAAAGAGATCATATCTTTTTTATTAGAAATTTGAATTTTGAGAGCATGTGAAGACTTGTCAAGACAGGAATCATTATGTCGATAATTATGGGCTTGTTGTCAGTTGTTGAATAGATCTATAAGATATAGTTGAATATGTTCATATATATTATGTTCATATAATATGGATTACAAATATTATATAAAGCAATCAATAGCTGCTATATTTTCTTCTGTCGTGTTGAACTGTGGCCATGCAAAAAGTTAAGGGAGTCGCGTGTTCAAAAGTGTTGGGGCAAAATGATTTGATTGCGGGGGAAGCGTCATCCTCGTCCCCAGGGCCTAGCTCCGTTGCGGAGAGCAACGGAGCTAGGCCCTGGGGACGAGGATGGGGAAGCGTACGTTGCCATCCCCGTTCCCAGGTGTTTCGCCTACTGCGTGTACGTTGCAAACCACCGTAACTAAATTTATAGTAATAGCTATTTAGCTAAATGCCCAGTCAAGGGACGCGTTCGGATCCGTGATACTTTATTATACTGTATATAGTTTTTCAGTTTAGCACGCTTGCGATTTAGTGCATGTTTGTGTTTACTTCCGTATACAAATCGTCTACAGGTTGAAAAAATTCATTACAGACTTATTCATGGGGGTATATTTGACTTCCTTGACACCAAACAGATTTATTAGTCGTGTTTTTCCAAAGAATAAACAGAAATAACTTAATTTGCTAGATTTTGGGGGCGGTCGACGTAAACAACGTAAATCATGTATTACAAAGTAAACATTCATGATCAACTCTTACGAATAGAAAAATTATTCAATAATTCAATGGCGTCTAATCTCGTTGCGCAATTTATTCAAGTCAGTCAAAGTCTTGTTTATATGCATCAGTGTCACTGAATAAAATATACAATACTAGACTAAATATATTAAGTACATATATTTTAGCAGTTGAGCATTGTGCTTATGACAACCATTCTCATTTTAATTTCAAACCGGAACTTTTGTACAGAATTTTGAGCTTTAACTGAAAGTGTATTATGAATTAGTTTGATGACATCTCACCGTGCGCAAAAACATCCCACGTTCTTGGGGCGTTTAGTCCAAATATAGTTTGTCATACGCGTGCGTGTATGCACGGAATTAAGATTAAATCTTTTTAAATCTTTCTTAATTATTCATCAAGGCAAAATTCCCCAACGAATCAGTGCATATTTGACACAGAACACTGATATCCCTCGGTTTTGTTTCCAGTTATATATGTTTTTCCTTTCGTTTGTTTAATAGTGTTTAGTCCAATTTACACTTCACTCAATTTATTGGAACGGCACGGCTAAAATCGGTACCCATACCACAGTGGCGTAACGCACGTTATATACCCAGGTTTGAAAGTTAGAACGTAAAAGCTTAGGGAAGTTAGGGCTGCCGCCCTAGGGCCGTTTTCCACTGTGGCGTTTTTTGCACGTACGTACACGCACGTTAAAGTTTAAAATAATTTAAATGATAGCTACTTATAAAATGAAATCTACGATTGAATATATGCAAAGGATTGAATTCTGCATGTTGATGATTTGACTTTTCTGCGGTAAAATTAATTGTATAACAACTTGGAAGATTTTACATTTTTACGTGCGTGTACATATATACATGTAAAGGTTGTTTACCACTTACGCATTTTTCATACGCACGTACACGCACGTAAAAACCGTCAAAATCCTTGTAAATTTTACCTTGAAAAAACTAAGTCCTAGAAAAAACTAAGTGAATAAATCTAAGGAACTTAGTTTTCTGCATACTTTAGTATGATTAGTTGACCTAGATGTTATAATAATAAAAATTTAAAAGCATTTAAAATTTTCCGTACATGTACGTGCGTATAAAAAACGCGAAAGTGGAAAGCAGCCTTAAGAATTAAACGCGACGGTAGAAAGCAGCCCTTAGGGACACTAAACATTACGAAATGAATATCTAACGAATCTCAAAATTAATATAGTTTAATCAGTTTGGAAGGCTCTTATCGATCTCAACTGCAATATAAATTCGTACTGCACGACAAGGCTATTTTTAATAAAATATTTCTCATTAGTTTGGTGCTTCCGTCTTAATTACAATCGTAAGTCTAACATGAGAGATTTCAAACTGATAACTTCCATTATAAATTGCCCTTCATTAACCTAACTCTTTGGGACAGCGTTGGCGTTTCGAAAGCTAGAAGTCAGAATGTTTGGTTTGCATGTTTGTCAACATGTAGAACGTCGAGGCCCTTAGGGTCAAGACTTTTCTGTTGAAAGACGCGCCTTCTCTGACAAAAATGTGAATCCTCATAGAGATTTGTAGTGGCGCTGAAGCAGTTTGAGCTCGTAGCTTTAGGGTTAAGTTATTCGTAACTCGATAAGGCTGAGGGCAGCAGGGTTGGTAGATTTTATGAATAAATAAGCCAAATATATTAACATAACATTTGTTTTCTTTGTTTGAAACAAAGGAATCAAAGGGCCGCCAATAACAATGTTTGGCTTATTTATTCAGTAACTTACCAACCCTGGAGGGCAGCAGCTAGGAAAATGTTTTGTGCGCACGATGCATGACTGATGTTATCAAATTAATGCCTGCAGCCTACAATGCAATCAGGTCGGCAATTCGTCAGCTGAGGACTAACAAAGTCTATCTTCATTTTGAACACTATTGAGAATTTAATTTTTGGTCCTAATATATCCCAAGACAAAATATACAACATCGAATATATAAATACATCGTTCTTCAGGTATAAACTACTGAATATGCGCGTGCGATGGATGGAATGATTTTGCAATAGCCCGAAGAATTAATAGTGCATTTTTATGAATTGAAATAAATATAGTACAACTAATCATTTGTCATCTTAATTCATATTTTCTGACTGTTCTTTGACTCTCCAAGCGACGTCCATGTACTTAGTGACCTCAGAATTTTGTCTTCGATGATGTAATCTTGGGTCAGTACGCTGACCATCAATCTATGTATTGAAATGTGATTGAAAACAAAATAAAGTTTCTTCAGGTGATAAAAAATTATCCCCTGACTTCTTCTGACAGTTGTGTGATTCACTAAATTTGGGGACAAAGCATAAAAATTCTGCTTCACTGTGTGATATAAAAGCAATTCATGAAAGGTACAGTTTATACCACAATCCTATCCTTTTTTTAGTAGCAATGCATTCTCTCTTTATGTATAAATCCCCTCATGGGGATATACACGTATTTACCACTAGACCATGGCAAATAGTTTAGGTCTGGACTACCATAATCTATCTATCTGATTAAAGTGTAACACTTGAAATATTTCTTACCAAAGGTTGCGTGTTCCAACCATAATCCTGATTGGAGGTAAGCGGGAATTCAAATTTTTCAACAGGAGTTCGGTGTGCTTTCGTTATAACTTCCAAAAATGTGTCTGTAAAAAATGGAGATTAAAACTGTGCATGCGTGAAAACCAGTGATTGACCTTATAAACTTTAATACTAAAGAGCGTGTCTAGAGCAATTGTAGTGTACAATGAAAATGCATACCATCTTCCTCGCCGTCAGCAGAATCATGGAGTGAATTTGGTTTTCCCGTTAATGTGTACACTGACGAGAAATTAAAATTCAATTAAAACATAAAAGGAACTCACAACGGAAGACATTCCATACTATTTTTAAAAACAACATTTAACAGGTTATAAGAATATAGTAAATCGGTCAAAATATTAGAAAAACATCCAAACTTGAAACATGAGTGAGCTATTAAAGCTCTGCCTCTAGTGAGTGGCAGGTTGGTCAAGTCCAAGAAACGTCGACGAGCTTTACCTACTTTTTGTAAAAGGATTTACACTGTAATTTGTATATAACTTCTGATTTTGCTGTTCTTTCTTAATTGTCTCACAAAGAATGGCATTTTGGTGCACGAAATTCACCGCAGGTTTTTCTTTCTTGGACGCCATGTTGTTTTTTTCGTGTTGCCACGGTAACCAAATTGTACAACCGCTGCCAAGCAAGCATCGAGGATTCATCAATATTCGCCGTCACTAGTGCCAGCCCCCAAACAACAATTTGAACGTTATTTATTGAAAACTTCGATTACAACCAAGTTGGTGAATGTGAAAATATTCTTTCATATGTGAGAATTTCTTGGACTTTAACGTTTTATAGCCTCAAGAATAAAAGAAGGTATTATATTGTTTTATTTTTTCGTAAAGATCTCCTAACTTGTCTGCTGTATCATGTAATTAAATATGATATACAGTTTGGCTTTGATGAGCAAGTGTTAATGCTAGATGACTCCTTGGGTTTAAAAAGAGTATCAACATAAATCAACATATACAGAGACGGGTCTCATAATCATCAGCAATCCTGCAGCATATGAATATCATTTTTACTGATCAAACATGTAAATTAGGTTTAAAAATAAAATCAACTTTTAAAAATTGCTTTGATATTTTACACCATATGATCTTGAATAGCATAATTTAAGCTGGTTTTGAGTGTTAAAATTTCCCAATGTGGCTTTCCACCATAATCTATTATTGGTTGTATGTCAGATTCGGTGTGTGAATTACAAAAAATGTGAAATATGAAAATCAGATCTTTACCAATGAAAACCCAGAGAAATCTCCAAACATTCAAACCTGCACCATTGCAGTACCAATAAAGTTGATCCTTGATGTGTGAATTGTATGTGTGTATTGAAGCATATCAGTAAAAAGGAAGTTTAGCAACTTACATAATAAATTGATGCAATATATATTATTTTTTCAACGCCTAATTTCCCTGCAACATAGTATAAAGGCCTTGAGCCAGATATTTATTTTTGAATTGAAACAATTGATTTCTGTTTTAATTCACAGTTTTCAACCTCAATCGACAAATGACACTGTATGGATCCAGATTATGAAAAACGATTGTTACTAGGACAACATGGTATAAGTCCCCTTTCCTCTCCTACATCTCCAGTAAGTTGATGACAGTCAAAGCAACATTTTATTAGTGTGAATATCAGATATCTGTTGCAGCTATGAGCTATGTGAAAATGCTACTCATGATTAAATTGTTATTATTTCACTGTAGGCAGTTTCACCATATCGATCACCACGGAAAGAGGTTTATAGTGACAGGTAAACACTTCAAGTAACTTCTTATTTAATGCTGTTCAGTGACCAACTAAAATATTGTAAGAAAATCTCTTTAATGACTGAAGTACTTTTGTATCAACAATCCTAGTTACAGTAGATCAAATTAAAACAAGGGGCCTCATGAATAACCTCTAATCAAATATGGGGTACAGCTCTGTTACAAAACAGGCAAATAATAGACCCAATTATGTACACCGTATTTGGGCCTGTTGATCGAGCATCTGTACATAGCAAAGCTTTGTATGTTTGTAGATTCATTCCGAGTCGAGCTGGCTCAAACTGGGAGGTGGGATTTAATTTACTTCAGGTAGATAATATTTTTACCACTGTTTTTGGTCTGGTTGTTGTGAGGGGATTTCAACATGAAGTACATGTACATACTAACTTTTTGGATGTTTATTGAACTATAGTCATTGCTTTTAATTAATTCTAAACTATACTGATTTTGTCTAAGGTTGTGAATAAATTTTACCGTCTATATTACTATCATCAATACAATAATGTTCTTAAATGTTCTCATTGTTCTTTTCTTCAGGAAAATGTTGACAGCACTAAAAGTAGTCCTGTAGCCAGGTTTGTCTTTCTATCTCTGTAACATTTTATATCTGTCATATTACAGTTCTGGGACCAGTTGTAGGAAAGCTTATCTAGAATTGTTATGTGATTTACATTTTTATAACAAATTCCATGCACTTTTAGGGAAACTAGCCCTGATTCAAAAGGTACTGTGCATACAGTATATATTGTTATTCTTTTGTTTCAAGATTTTTGTACCTTGAGAGCTAATTTTTTCCTAAAAAATATTTAGTCCTTGAATTTTTTATTTCCAGAGAGTCATGCCTACAATTGTTTACTTAAAAACGAACTTCTGGGTACTGAAATCGACGATTTAAAGGTTTGCCTATATTATAACTGGCAGCATCATTGTTTCAGTATATTTCTAGAGTGTGCTGATTTTTACTGCATGATAAATATCAGTTACACTGAAACTTTCAATTTTTTTTGATTTTGTAATACCCATACCTGTGTTCCCAGGATGCCCAGGGGTCTTGTATCAACAACGAGAACCGCGCAACTCCAAAATCGAGCTGCGCAAGAAATCTGTTTCAGGTAAGACCTTTTTCGTCCGTTAGTAGATCACAACCGCGCAGTTTTTGAAACCGAAACTACGATTCGGATTAGTATAGACGATCAGTGTATTAGCTAATAAATTATTATCATGTGGCTTCTCTTCCAGTATCAGGCAAAAAGGGTAAAACGTTCAGAGTTTGATGGGAAGTCCTATTCGCTTTCACCCGTCAGCAAAAACAGGTGATTTTTAATAATATTAACATTCATCTAAGCTTTTATCTTCACTTGTTGAGCATTGTATTCAATACTACACATTCTTTTGTCAAATGCACGCCTTCGTGCATGCACAGTCTAAGAAAAAGAAATTAAAGGCCATATACTGTATGTTAGCTCCATAATATGCCCAGAGCGAAATATAGCTACTCAACATGTACAGTGTACAGTACTCTACATCGACAGCGTGACAAAACAGGCAAATTATAAACCCAATATGTATAGACAAGGATATTTAAATAGGGTTGTACTCACTATTTCGTTTGACTGAATCTTTTCTTTTCAAACTTTATAGTCACAATCTGCTACGATCGCCTAGAAAAGTAAGTGGTTACCTCCAAACTAAAGTCATGTTATCCTAAAGTTTCTGCATGAGCAATACGATTACGTAGCTATATTACTACGAAATCGTTATTCTGAATAAAAATACAGAACTTTATCCTTTAGGCTACGCGGAAAATATCGAAGGTTCCTTTTAAAGTTTTAGATGCTCCTGAATTACAGGCAAGGCATATAATACTGTATTACGTCATAGCATGTCGGGATTTCATTGCGGGCGATGTTGAAATGGGGTCAGAATGTTTGCAAGAACGAGATATTTTGGTATTTCAGCAAAACACACTCAATTCTTGGGTCGTTTTCCTGACACAACGAAATGTTCCAAAAGTCTTTTAAAGTCACATTCAAAGCGTATAGAAGTCATCCGTCGTGATATTATAAACAACGTGTTATTACTGTTAAACAAATCTGTTTCTTCATTTCAGGATGATTTCTATTTAAATTTGGTCGACTGGTCCCAACAGAATATTCTCAGCGTTGGTTTGGGTACATGCGTTTATCTTTGGAGTGCATGCACTAGCCAGGTGAGTAAATAATATTTGGTTCATTGTTTACATCTTGCTATTAGCGCTGTCTTCTATCAACAATTAATATCAGAGGCCATACATGTACATTACATTATTACTGATCAATTTTTTCTCGTCTTCGTGTTTACCTCACAGGTAACGAAGCTTTGTGACCTCTCAGATGATAGTGATTCTGTAACATCAGTCTCGTGGGCAGAAAGGGTAAGTCAGACAGGTTTTTCTTACCTAATATCTTTCTACCATGCAAGTGTGTTTAAAACTGTAGTATACTATCGTAATTTACCCTACGAATATGCTGGATCACACTATATGTTATGTACAGTATACACTTGTTCTCAAAGTTAACAGAAACCTAAATTGACGTCATAATCTATAGACTGGTCATGTGGCTGTCGGCACTCACCGCGGTTTCGTACAAATCTGGGATGCCACTGCGCAAAAGAAACTGCGGTCTCTGGAAGGACATACGGCGCGGGTCGGTAAGTGAAAACGTCTTCGTAAAAAATCGCAGGAAAAATTGCGAATGCATGTAATTGTACACTGCATGCGAGTGTAACTGCATGTAACCTGGCCATTGCAGGTGCGATTGCTTGGAATGGAGAGCTTCTGTGTTCCGGCAGTAGAGACAGATCGATCTTACAGCGTGATTTACGAAGCTCAGAACCAAGCGAGAGAAAGCTTGTGGGACACAGACAGGAGGTTGGTTGAAATAATTTCACGGAAAATGTGCACGTACTGTATAGCTACAGTGGGGTAAAGGTTAATTTTTCATTGAATTTCGAATCTTGTCGATAATGCTGCCGAAAATTCGATATTCCAAACCAAAAAACTTCCCCCGTGAAAGTTTAGTTGTTGTTCAATTTTATCCTATAATTCTTTTGCTATAGGTTTGTGGTTTAAAATGGTCGCCAGATCATCAACATTTGGCATCGGGGGGAAACGACAATAAGGTAAAGTTTACGACAATTCCATATACCTAATGTTTATAAAAGTTTTTCAAAATGGTGCTTCGTTATTTTTCTAGCTACTCGTGTGGAACACAAGCAGCTCGATTCCGGTTCAACAATATAACGAGCATACAGCCGCTGTCAAGGCGATATCGTGGTCTCCCCATCAGGTACAGCCACACTTGTGGTATTCCTCGTTTTATAACTGATATTATTTAATATGTTTCATTGTTTTCTCGTGTTATAGCATGGTTTACTGGCATCCGGGGGTGGTACTGCTGACAGGTGTATACGGTTTTGGAATACGTTGGCTGCTCAACCGTTACAGTCTGTCGATACTGGTTCCCAGGTATGATAAAAATGAAATATGCATGTACGTATAATATTAAAATTCCTCGTACAATACGCACTTAATATCCTATCGCCGCAAGTATTGTTTAAGTTTGAATGAAGTTGTTAAACTATATTGCGTACAGCGAATGCTATTATTGGGCACAATAGCTCATATTTAGCGTTTGAATTCGTATTTTTGCAGGTTTGTAATTTGGCGTGGTCAAAACATTCAAATGAACTTGTAAGTATATATACATTCATTAGCCTAGTTGTCTGTTCTTGAAAGGCGTGGTTTCCCGGTCTAACGTTTTGTCAAAATTTACATTCACCATCTTTTCCATAATTATCACTATATAGATAATCAACTTTATTTGCAAAAAATGTAAAACGTCATGCTCCAAAGATAAACATGCATATCACAAAAGATATGTAACACTATTACAATCATGATAAATATCTGTACTAATAAAAGTACGTAGAACAAAAAGTAGTGTAGGTATATATACTGTAAATGTTTTGATCTTATCTTATATGTTGTATACATAGGTTAGCACTCATGGTTATTCACAGAATCAAATACTTGTATGGAAATATCCTTCTCTAATACAAGTGGCAAAATTGACCGGGCATTCCTACCGAGTTCTATATCTTGTGAGTGCCGAGAAAAGGCTATATTTTATAATTATATTATACGGTACAATTGTTAAAATCTTTGTTATGTATTCAATATGCTTAACATGCTTAATCTCGCTTTTGTTCAGGCCGTATCTCCTGATGGTGAAGCAATTGTGACGGGGGCAGGAGACGAGACCCTTCGTTTCTGGAATGTATTCAGTAAAGCAAGATCGCAAAAGGTAAAAAGTTTTTTTTTCGGGTAGTGGGGATCTCGGGATGACTTAGGTACTTCAAATATAACGTGTGGTGAAAATGTACACAAACTGACACCACAGACTTCACCTATGTTATTAGCATTACTGTATCCTTGACCTTATATTATATTTTTGCCATTATAGGAATGTAAGTCAGAATTGAACTTGTTCACGAAAATTAGATGAATGTATACAGGAAGGGTGGTTGTGTGTAAATATGACTCTCATACTTTAGGCCTGTTTATTTGCAGCCGAATTAGCGGTTGAAACAGTTAAATTATTTTTTATATAGTAGCTTATATTGCCGGGTAGCTCGGCAACCAACCCACGGCCCCATCTAAACAGGCCCTTAGATATTGAAAATTGTAGGTGAGGTATGTTCTGTAGTAGTATTTGGGTGAAATGGTGTAGTGTGGAAAAATGATGATTGGATGAATAAAATGTAGTGTAAAATGCGCAATATACCCATAGTTTGTGGTAATCATAGGCATGATACACCGGGGCATTTGATTTTTATCGTAACTCGTCCTGCGTTGCTCTGCTAGCAAGGAAGCAGAAACTAAAAAGTAGCAAGTTTATGCTATTAATATAACTTTAGTCCTCGCGAGCCAGTGGGTTTATTTCTTCAATTTTGTTTTGCCCGAATGGAGACGAAAATAATATTATCTAAGAGGATACACTGTGTTTTTTTTTTTAAAATTCTTACATGCTTACAATACACATGCTTTTCTCGTTATATCCTTGATATATTAGCTCCTACTCGATTGTTCTTTTCTTAAAACTGTCGCAAACACTGGGATCTACGAATGTCCATCATTAATGTACAGTGCATTTCTGTGAGAAGTATTTTAAAGTGCATTCCTGTGAGAAGTATTTTAAAGCGGATCGTTTTGAGGTTCCAAGACGTTAGAATATCGTTGTAAATCTAATTTCCTTGTGCTGATTCATCACATACAGTACAGCATTGGTAACATGCTAATCTTTTATTATCTGAATATCCAGTACAGCACATGAAAGGTCATCAGGTACTGTAGGTAGAATCTTGCTGTTCTATAGAGCTTCTCAATTCATCTCGCGTGGCATTAATGCTGCAGGTCAATGTTCTCCATTTTCTCATCACCTTCCTTTACTTTTCAGTTTTTGCCTCCTTGCCTTTCCAACACGTTTTGCTTTTGTCTATAAAACATGCACACAGCAAACAGACAGTAAGTAATACTTCTGCTAAGTAGAACATCTCGTCATAAATGATATGGGGACACCAAATGGTGTACAGTATTTAATTAGGGCAAATTATTGGTAAGAGGACTGTTTGTCTTACTTCAAAACGGCATCTCGACTACTTACTGAATTAAAGAAAAACCAAATATTTACCTTAGTTTTTGCCCTGGGTGCTTTGCTGTGTTTGGCAGAGCTGAAAGCACTAACATCAGCTACACTATCTGCAGTATTTCGTTTCTTTGCACGCTTTTTTCCACCAAAACCATACTTAGAATCCTATTAGAGATAGCACTGTGTTGAAATAGGGCTTGAGGCACATGCTACTGCAGCTGGTTGTATAAAGCCCAGAATGCCATATATGACTATATATGATTTATGATGATCTCAGTAGAGATTGTAGGTGGGGAATGAAAAAAAATAAAACTTGCCTTTCTTTGCCTCTTTGCTGATTTTCTAAAAGCAAAAAAAATCATAAATTTTATAAAGTAAGTTATGTCAGCTAGGGTAAATTTAATATATAGTTATCACAAAATAGGAATAATCTTAATATAAACTGAGGCTAATTATAATACCCTTCTTGAGGTTTGTTTGGTGCTGATCGTTTAGTTCCTTTATCTGTATTGATATCAAATTCATCATCATTGTCTTGTAGAAATTCTGGTTTTCCTTTTTGTCCTGTTCAAGGAATTTTTTTTGTGAAAAAAATAATTGCTTTGAAATCCTTGGCCTGCCAAAAGGTAGTTAAATTCTTTGTAATTCCAATCATATTTTGATCAAAGTTCCTGCTTTCTGAAAGGTAATCTTAACATATATTATATGGTACCTTTTCTGTACTTCTTCACTGACTCTAACATTTGCTTCTTTTCCTGTTGTCTCTTTTTCAAAACTTCTTGTTGGACCTAAAGCCATTGTTATTGATTGACAAAAATTATCAATAGTAAGTTTACTATTTCAGTAACTTATAACCTGCAAGATAAGACTTGTTTACAGAACAAATTACACTTTACTAATTTATTTGCCAAAAAGTGCCCACAACTGTAAAATGTTAACAACATGTAATATGTACAGTGAAATTACCTTTTTACCATATTTCTTCATTGCTCGCAACTTCCTTGCTTTCTCAGACTTTTCCATAGCCAACTCCTTTGTAACAAGCTTCTCTCGTACCTGGTAGCAACATTAGTTACATATTTAACCAAATAATTGTTGTTGCGATCACTTTTAAATAAATAAAATACCATAACCTACCTTTTGCATGTGGTCGTCTGTTTTTACCATTTCAGCAAAGTAATCAGAAGGTCGGTTAATTGGAACACCAAGTTTTTTAAGTTTAGGTAGAGCTTCTGATACTGCCATTTGTGCTTGTTTGTAGCTTGAAAAATAATTATCCTTTTATGAGTATTCATTCCATTTACATTAGCTTGTGCCTAATACATTCAAAGATGCATTTCTGGCTATGTCAAAGACCACAGGTACAAAGTTTACATGGAATGCACTAGCTATGGCTTACAGCAAGTTTAGTTTAGGGGCGACTTACAATTTCATTTCTCTTTTGAAGTCATCATGAACATCTGTCTTTTCCATTTCATTTTTTGTATCATCTTTTCCAATATCACTTGTTACATCCAGCCGTTCTAACCAATCTAACTCTAACTTAATCTCATTTAGTTTTTCATTGAGTTCAGGCTAGATTTAAAAAAAAGGAGGGGGAATACAGTGGTGAACCTTTATGTCACAAGGGACTGGCTCACTGGCAGCAGTCAGTTAATTACGCATGCTATCATGTTATTAGCCAATATTAGGTGAGGGTAAAACAACCTGTAAGACTTTAGAAGACTTCATGTAAGACTTCAGAATAATCAGCATCATTTAGAATACTTGTTTTTAAATAAAGATAAATAATTTCGCCATCATACCACTTTATTGACAAAAACCTTTTCGACTTTCTCGACCATGCGATTTAGACCTGGCTTGACTTTTCCCGACAAAAACGCATTTTGCAGCTAAAAAAATCAAAGCAACGTAAAACGGTCAAAGCAATATTATGAAGCTTAATCGCCTAACGAACATAAACAGATTACCTCTTCGTCTGACACACCATCAGACTGCTCCGAGAAACTGTCTTCCAACAACAAATTCTCGTCGTTTTCGGACGCCATGTTGCATTTTTTGAAAGAAGCCGCTTTCCACAATGTATCACAGTCGCGAAAAAAATTGTAAGTTGCTTCCACTTAGAAGTTGTAAGTCTTCTTTAATTTCTTGGAATTTCAACTTCGTAAGAAGTTGTAAATCTCCTTTAGTTTCTTGGAAGTTGGAACTTACTGGAACAACGAGATCCTCACTCTCCAGTCCTCTCCACAATATTGAGTAAACAACAATTTGTATTTTGTAGGCAAGACCGCAAGAGAAGCAACCGTACCAACCGCGAATCTAGTCTCTATTCTTTATGAAGCCCGGTTAAATTTTCATGTCGTTATTCTACCATCATCATGATTACGTAACAAGTTTGCCGGTGATTAGCACGTGGTTTGGAATAAAAAATTCAAAACAAAACAAAGATGGCCGATGATTCGAATCTTCTTCGGGCTTTTAATGTGTTTTTATTCCCGATTTCTTTTGTTGAGAAGAATCGAGAAGACTATTTTACCTAAAATGAGTGAAAATACTTTTACCATACTTTACGGATCACAAACTGGTCAAGCAAAAGCGATTGCTGAAGAAATATTTGAACAAGCTGAAGGATTTGATCTAAAAGCCAAGTTGCTGTGCCTCAGTACTACAGACAAGAAGGTAAGAAATGGTTACTGCTGTTTTGTGGAAGGGCGTCCAAATCCGACAATGAGCAATTATTTCACAAGTTTTATAAACTGTGATGGCAGCAGTGAATGGGCCAAAAATGGATGAGCAATTGATTGAGCAATGACGTCATATGTCTTGTAGTAAAATGGTTTTAATAATAACTGAACAATGAGCTAAATATTATCACCATAACCTTTTTTTTCAAACTACGAGCTATACTGAAATTAATTATTGTCAACAGATTGATAAGATTCCTTCTATGCTTTCTGCTATCAATACAATGCATCATTATATAAAACCACCACAGAAATATAAGATTCACCATATCTCAGTCTGTCCATAAGCTTTAAAAAAATACTAAATATTGCTCACTTCAAATATCCCACCTAATTACAAATTGAATTGCTGAGATCGTGTGAGAGGTGTCAATAGGATAGGCTGAATGAAATAGTCCCACCAGGAGGAGTTTTAATTTTTTTTATGCGCATTTGAAAATGTATATTGATATTTGCGCAATATAAATTAATAAATTATTATTATTTTGTATCAACATTTTATATTTTAGTTCGCTATTGAAAAGGAGAAGTGTGTTGTATTTGTTGTTTCAACAACTGGTGATGGTGAACCCCCTGACACAGTAACAAAGTTTTGGAGAAGACTTAGAAAGAAAACATTAGGTTCAACCTTTTTGAAGGGACTTCATTATACCTTGCTTGGTAGGTTGATTTAGGATTTTATAGATGCTTGACCTTATCCACTGTATGCCTGATATGCTATGTTTAGCCATATGCTGCTGCAAGGTCACACTTATTCATTATTGTATTTAATAGATTTATTTGTGAAATTATAATGTGCTAAGTTGTTTTGCCTGAAGCTCTTTGTCATTTACAATTCAGGATTGGGTGATACCAACTATACAAACTTTTGTAATTGTTCAAAAAACCTCAATTCTCGTCTTTTGGATCTCGGAGCAACTCATTTCTACCCACCAGGTTTTGCAGATGATGCTGTTGGGTGCGTATTGTGTATACTGATTGCTCTTAATGTACTGCTGAATAGAAGTGAAAAAATGAATATTAAAATTATTTTTTAAAAATGTTCTCTTTCTTTGAACACATTTTTGCTTTTCTGGATGCTATTTGTTCGTAACAAAATTATTTAATGAATTCTTATGCCTGTCCCAGGCTTGAGATCGTTGTTGAACCTTGGATTGATGAACTTTGGCCAGCCCTCTTGAGGGAACTAAGTTCAAGCAAACAAGTAAGAAAAATAAATATTATTTTCTTTAATGGCATGCATTAAAATAGAAAGTTTCTGCTTTCATCTCTTCTAAAAATACCCTCAATGTTTAATGCACATTCATATATGCACATAAGTGCAATTACCCAAATATGTGTATCATTTTTATCACTGTTCCACCATTAGTGATTTATTTTACTTAATTCATTCACATTTGCATTTTATCATAATTCTATAAGATTTCAGAGAACGAAGACGACTCATCAATAAATGACACTATGAGTAAGAATATGTCAAGTGAAGAAAAACCTCAAACACAATCAAATGAAAATTATCAATCGACACTATCCAAGGATATAACAGATGGTAAAGACACGTCGAGACCTTTAATGGATAAAGACGCTTTACAAAATGACGTAGCAGTGGACATGAACAATGCGGATCATTCTTGTATTTTGGAAGAAACAACAGCTCCTGTACAAGATGATTACGAATCAACTCCTTCATTGAGGATTTCTAGAGCGCCATTGTCGGAATCAGGTACGGGTATAATATGCACTATTGTATGTACGTCGTGTGCCCGACTGATTTCCTTTGAAGCGATTGCCGGTTTTTACTTTTTATACATACTAATATGTGAACATGTCATGTTTTATAGTTTAATAGCAAGATTCTCTCTATCACGATCTTCCAGCATGCAAAACTCTTGTCTTAATTAATTCTTTAGATTTAAGTATTCCGATTTTGCCTGCTGAATATTTATGCGTGTCATTTACTGACGAATTCGGAAAGGTACGTCCTACTCTTTCACAAAAATGTGATTTAACGCTAAGGACTATACCGCATTCTTAACGCAGATTGATGCAATTGATTTCTTCATGTTACAGTACAATAGTTCGACATGCAATCTTCGAACAGCTATATATAGTACAGTTCAGTTCAGTAGTGAAGTGGTAGTAAAGTGAATTTGTCGGTTTTCGTATGACTTGTAGGTTTCCGGGAAAAAGATCCCCATGCATGTACATCCCTATGCCTACTACTTTTCTTAAGTTGCATCAACATTATTCTTATAGCCCTATGTTCTGGAAAAGATTACAGATCGGTAGTATCATATCACAAGAAAACGAGACATGCATGCATCATGAGTTGAGTATTGTGTATATATATTTGCAGGATATTTTATCTGGTCCTTGGCAAGGCGGAACTGAATTCACAGGCAGTGCTTCACCCATAACGGAAGCAAAGATCGTTGGTTATTCTCAGATGACTAAAGACGATGCAGTGAAGACCGCTTACTGTTTAACATTAGACACTGGTGTATGTGATTTAGCCTACGTTGTGTTTTTACGTATCCAGTGCAGGAGACGCATGAGAAAGGTTTTTGAATTTCAGTTCGCACGAATGATTCGTATACGTGATATTGTAGTGTTCAACCTTTCAGGATACTGTCCTTAACTACCACCCCGGGGATTCTTTTGGAATCATTTGTCCCAATAATAAAAATGAAGTCGATGGTCTCATCTCTAGGTTAGTTCACTTCAAGTTTGCCGCGTTCTAGCACTGATCTCATTATGCATCAATCTTCTAAAACTATTCAGTATAGATCCACTTGCTTATACAATTTACTAAGATATCTGCATTAGACATTGCCATATCGTTATATCCGTTTGATTTTAGGTTAGATTATCAAGATCTAGCGGAGAAGGTATTCACACTAGCAGCCAAAGATCCAGTAGGAAACAAAAAACGAGGTACAGTTAATCGTGACATTGTTCGTAATGAATCATCCTTATAATGCGATCAGGACAGTTTACTGATTTATGTATAATAGTATTAATAGGCCACAAAAGTGTTCCCTGTTCGTCACACGGTGTTCATTGACATCGTGTATGATGTAACACGAAGACCTTTGGTCGAAACATCGACAAGGCTTTTGCCGTATCAGTATAATGGTGCAAATTTTGTTCCAAGTCTTGCTTCACACCGATGTGAAGAATTTATACCAACGTGTTCTGTACATATTAAATAAACTAATATTAATTCCTGTTTTATCGTTTAGCGAAAGGACGACCAGACCATATTCCACAGAAATGTACTATAAGACAAGCTTTGACAAGCTGTTTAGAAATTCGATCTGTACCACGTAAGGTGAGTGATTTCTAACAATTGCTTACTTCATAGATATGCTACCGTGCAGCTACCGTGTAGCCTGTTTTCCATGCGCTCACTATGGGTTAGGTGAATTTGCCAACCTCGTACGAAAACCCTGGCTAAGAGGTTGGTGAAATTTGCATGCCACAAGGCCTGGTTCAAACCTCGCACTGTTGATGCGCCTAGTGTATTAAACCCCTTTTACGTAAGCACATTTTCATTCTTTTCACAATATTGCTTGTACTTGCAGGCATTTCTCAGAGTGTTATGTGAATACACGAGTAATGCTTTAGAAAAACGGCGGTTACAAGAATTATGCAGTAAGGAAGGTAAAGTTCTTGATTCTAACTCCATGCATGAGCGTATGCATGTTTAATGCCAAATTAAAAAAGGAAATTGTTGTTGAAAGGTGTTAAACCTGGATTGTGAATTTACTACTTTAACTGGTTGCAAACAAAATAGTCAGAAAAGTGTTCCAATGAGTTAGCACGCTCAAAATCTAATAAACCTTTTCATTATAAATCTTGTTCAAAAGCCTCTTTTTCTGCAATTATAGGTGCTGCTGATTATTCGTCGTATATTCGCGAGCCACACGTTTCTTTCATTGATATCTTAAACGCCTTTCCTTCTTGTAAACCTCCCTTTGAAAGACTTCTCGGTAAGCTAACTACCATGCATCTCTATATACCATACAGTAAGAAATGTACCATCTCTATATACCATACAGTAAGTGATGTACCATCTCTATATACCATGGAGTAAGAGAGCTTCGAGTACAGTATTTATGTCTCAGCTACTGTACATGCATGGCATGAGTAAATTTATAAGTTTCCCTAAACTTATATGTATTGGCCAGTTTAAATATTTTAGTTGCCCTATGCATTCATGCATGTTATTCTCGAGAGTTTGAAAATATCCAAAATTATTTAAACGTGTCTCTAAAGTACCTACCTTTCTTTAGAGCATCTTCCAAGGTTATTACCGAGACCATACTCTGTCGCATGGTGAGAAATCATATATATTATTACCTCCATCAACTTATATAAGCTATAGTGCATATATATTTACTCTGTTGTATAAACACAGTATCTCTCTTTTAATTCATTTATATAGTTCCCCTTCAGAACATCCGACGCATTTGAGATTCGTATTTAACATTGTCAAGTTCACACGTATTGAGAATGTAAGAGATGAGAGGTATGGCATGTTGTCAAATTTGTGTACGTCAGGACTTTCCGTATATTGCCGGGTTGTTTTGACCTCACAGTATATACCATACATTAGTGTTATGTTAAACTGATAGCATGCTGCAACTAGAGCAGGCATGCACGCACGCATGTGTACATCCACCAACACTATTTTTTTGAATATCCTTTTCAACAGATATGGCCTCTGTACTGGTTGGCTTCAGGAATTTTCAAACAAATTAACAGTAAAGAATGAGAACAACGATAAATCGCTTGAAAGCAATTTTCGGGAGTTATCTTTGAGTGATAATTTACCAAAGGTACAGTATTGTAATTGGCAGTCAGCGCTACATTGAACTGACGTGTCTAGTATTTAACCAAAACACTGCCTGGGAATTTCAGGATATCAAACAAATATGTGCTTGCATGCATGCATAGATATTTTACGTATTTTATCCGAGACATAGTTTCGTGCCAGTCTATTCATGCAGTTTCAAACTCAACCTCGTTTCCTTCAAACTCATCTACATGAAATAAATTCAGTATTCTCCTCTCGTTCCAAGGTTAATGTAGTTCTTCGTAATCATACTGGGTTTCATCTACCACACGACACACAATCTCCATTGATAATGATCGGTCCTGGAACAGGCGTTGCACCTTTTGTTGGATTCCTTCAGCACAGGTTTACTAATTTTCGTCTTGCTTCATTTTGTAGTGTTTCATCCTTCCCCTTTAAGAGTTAAACGCGAATATAGGCTATTCATTTTTTCATCGTAACAAGACTACTTAATTACAGGCGGCACATGCAGAGGCAGGCTACATCGGAAACCAGGTTTGGAGTCACTTGGTTATTTTATGGTTGTCGCCATAAAGAGCGGGATTTTCTTTTCAGGTAAAGGTCTTAGTATGCAGTTTACATTATATTTAATTAAATTATGATGATATACTTTTTATGATGATATTCTTTGAAATATACAAATCCTTTATAAACGCCTCTAAATCATGCAGATGCCCTATAATTTCAGTGCAGTGACCTTCTCATATAGCTAAGCGATATCTTCGATAACATCTTACGTTTATGTAGTGATAAACAAGGTCACAAAACGTTAATATCCTCGACTGTCGTTTTTTAGGGAAGAATTAACAGAGTTTGAAAGAACTGGAGTGTTAACGAAACTCATTGTTTCATTCTCTCGTGATGTCGATGACTCAGGCAAAACTACTTCGCTTAAATATGTACAAGACAATATTAGAGCTTGGGAAAAGGAGTTGTGTGATCTAATATGTGATTCTGGAGCCTTTATTTTTGTTTGTGGGTAGGTGACTGTTCTCTATACACGGGCCCATATTTACTTCGTTGTTTCGTTGTTCAGAAGAGTAGCCCATATTAATTATAACACATTAAAGTACTATTTGTAATTTGGAAATTGCAGTGACGCAAAGAACATGGCAAAAAATGTGTTGGAAACGTTCATCGATGTTTTGCAAAGCGTAAAAGGTATGTCAAATATAGCTTGTGAATATATGTGTAATTTAGTACAGAGTAAGGTATGGCAAAATTTAGGACTTTCTCGGGGTGAATCGAACGAGGGCTGGGAATTAACCTATACCAATAATTCTTGTCAATCTATACAAATGTGACAATTTTCTACTCCTATTTTATTACAAGGACTTTCACATGAAGAAGCAAAGAAAGAAATCTGGAAGTTGCGTCAGGAGCACAGATATGTTGAAGAAGTATGGACATGAAATACGCCAGTTTGATAATAGTGATGCAGGATTGGTTTTAGACAATTCTCTGTGACATCACACATAGATATACATGTAAAATGTATACGAGCTTCAGTTGATATTGAACAACAAAGTTGCCACAACATATTCTCATTTGTGAAGAAAATATGAATTTTGGATGATGGTTATACTACGGAATGGAGAAACAAACTCGTTGTATGTAAGTTTCACCTATAGTGAAAATTCGCCTAGTTGAAAAATGTGGTCTAGACAATGTCATTGTTTTTTTAATCCAATTATTTATCGTCATTTTTTTAATCAAATAGTTTTGAGATATTGGAAAATATATTGCGAATATTTAGCGAAAGTGCATGGGGATTTTAGGTATCTACGGAATACTGAGGTTTTAATGATAATTAATATATTGTATATGGCAAAAAACAAACCAGCATCCAATGACTTTGTTTACATTGCCCAACAATTGATTGGCGATCTCTAACGTGCATGGGTTTCTGTGTATGTCCATGAATTCTTTAAAATATCGTAGTGTGTTTTCAGTCGCAGGAATCTCATAATTTTCCTTTTATTTACCCCCCTTCCCAAATTCATGCCGTCCTTCCCTCGCGCATCAGATAGTTGTTTCATACAAATCAGATGCCTTGTTTCATATAAATTAATATAGGCGTGTATCTACACAATACCTATTTAATATATCAACCTTTCCATACATGTATATTAGAATATTCCTCATGAAGTCAACGGATATATTTAACTACGTCAAACATGTTTCGTTAAAAGCTTTTTAATAGGAACTTTTAAAGTCGTTGAAATGTAGAAAACTCTATAAACTCCTAAACTACATTTTTGTGAAGTGTTCTGATTGGGCAAACTTGTGATTCTTGTCATACGATCGCCCCCTGAGCAGTCCAGTAGAGGGCCTAACATGACCTTTTAAATGTCTTCAGCCATGAAAGTAGTAACTATGGCAACCGATTTCTGGAATCACGTGACGGCGTTCGTTGATTGTGATTCGCATATCAGGTGTTCTACGAATGTCCGGAGAATTTTCTGGGAACTCGCAGTGGAACTTTCTTTGTGTACCCGACTTGCTGTAGTTTAATTGAAGATGGCGCAATTCGTTTCTGAGTGTGCTCCCAAACACCCCAGTACTGAAAGGTCTGGGTTGTGATGTGTTAGTATGGGGTAGTGTCAGTTGATGAGCGGTGGGAAAGAGGAGTGGGTTTGTAGTAAGAATTGATTGTCGTTGAAGGCCAGGAGCTGTCAAAGGTCTTTGGGCAACTTGCTCATGATTGGCATCTTTCAAAATGTCGTTCATGACACCGGAAGATGTCTGGTGCCCATTTGAAATCGTAACACTTTCACTGAATTTAACGCTTCTGTTGCGTTTCGCTTCATTTGCCTTCTTTGTTGATGCTGTACGCAAAATTGATGTTGGAGGGGAACTATCCAGAGTGTTTACGTCTATTGAATAATCTTTGCCATACGTTGTGTCATATGGCTGCTCTTTCTCTTCAAGAACCACCTATATGTTAAATTAGTATAATGCGTTCAACATCAGAGTAAGTGCTTAAACTATATAGTTCCATAAACAATATAATTCTATAGTTCTGCATGCCTATCAATAACATTTCTAAAACTTAAATATCTTCCTTAGTATAATTCATCTGCAACGTACCTTTTCTTGTTTTTCTTTCGCTGGGAATGTGTTCATATTTGTTTGACCAGCGATTCTTGGTGAATTTCCAGAATATTGCTGAGTGTATTCTGTGTCGCCACTGACGACATCAATGATGCGTTGTTGCGCCTCTGCAGTCTTTTGGGAGACCGAGAGATTTGCAGGTCGGTCCCAAAAGTCCGGTTTAACGGATGTCGGAGGAGTTGGGTAGAATTGATTCTTTTTTATGTCGGGACCTTTGACCAGCTGAAATTAATATATAAAAAGCATAATCAGTGTTAGGTAAAGCTTGTATAAATAACTCGCTATCAAGAGTGGTTCAGAAACTGCTTAAAATATTGATATTTAAAAGTACTTGCGTTGACAAATCCGTTCATTAATGAATATTTTGGCACCTGAGAGGTGCTTCAGTTTAAGGATGGAGTGAAAATAGCGAATATATAAACCTGATTGAAACTGTGACCATGCCATTGAAGAGGTCTTCTCTCGGAATCACTTAGTACTCGTATGACCTCACGCCTTTGGGGTGAACCTCTGATCTTCTCAGCAACTACGGAACCACTTCCCGACGGTGCATAAGATGGCAACGATGTCGATTTCGTTAGGGTCGCTCGGCCACTCCGGGTGTCGTCGGGGGAGTCCTGTGCCGGAAATACGGCAAATTTCGGAATGTGTGAATTTTGTGGATGCTCCGCAGGAAACGGGACATTTATAATGTCGGATCTAAAACGTAAAAATCAGAATAGAGAATTACAGTCGCCGAATGAATATTTTGAAATACTGTGAGTCGTGCATTCATTCATTGTATGTGTATATTTTGTTGAAAATCTAACAATTTTCAAATAATTTTAAGGTCTTTGCCGGCACGAGGCATGCAGGGTAGAAATACAAGCCGTACTCCGGTATATTATAGTAATTCCACTATAACCAAGATGTGTCGTATAAATATTTAATAGTGAGGGTTATCAATTTAAATCTTTATTTCGAAAAAAATCATTGGGATAGGTTGTAGCGGCTTCTGCACATCGGCTTTGTTCATAACATTGGGGGACTTTATGCATGATTTAGAATTATATTTTGGGGGCATTAAGCCCCGTACGACGGACAAGTTTTCCTTGCCAAGTTTTATTTGCTCGTGCATGTGTACGCAAAAAAATTGACAAGCTTTCCTTGACAAGGGGCCTTGTTTAAAAGCTAGTCATGCTAGCTTTTCAAGTAGGAGTTTTATCATTTCTGTTTGTTTTGAGATTCGATCGTATACTCATTTTATCATATTGTCGTGAAATATACTCGACATATATTATCGTAAAACGTGTCAAGAAAAATTTGTCAAAAAAAACTTGTTCGCCATACACACGAGCAAGTGAACTGGTCAAGAAAACTTGTCAAGAAAAACTTGCCCGTCTGTACGGGGCTTTAATTTTTATTAGCCATCATTGTTTTTTAGTTACATTTCAATGATATATTAAAAATGCTGACACAGTCTGTACAGAACTTCCAAAATTTTGCATGCTTCCGTGAATATATTGTAGTTGATAAAATACTAATTTTGAGTACATTTATCATACCTCAGATTAACCTTGTTACTGCTTGGAATACTGGAAGTGTTAAAAAAGAAATTTGGTGAATGCTACTTAGTGTACTCGCAACTTGAGAGTTTCTCCCATTATACAATGTTGAAATGTTGTAACAACCGTTGCAAGTAACAGATATTCACACTTACAGTTCATCTGTGGGTCTGACATCACTTCTTTTCAGATTAGTCACATCATACTTTGCATGTATCGGAAAGGATCTGAATATAAAGAAATGAGATTCTGGTGCACTTTCCCAAGACTGTATGCCACTGCTTTTCCCGACTTTTTATTCATAAGGTGTATAGAGTGTGGATAGGGTGGGACTCGTGCTCCTCATGAAACTTTACTGCATTCTTACCGAACAGCGAGTTTTTAGTGTTTTGCGTTCCCAACTGGAATGGTGAAATAATTTAACAGTATTACAGAAATTAAATTTCTTAACCCGATGTCATTTCACAACAATCCTTACTGATATATGGCTCTCAAGATATAATATGCTTTATATTTGCTAAGAATTTTCAAGCGTTCTCCTTGCCTGCATGGAAAGTCGGAAAATATCCCTAGGCTCCTATATATGGGATTATATTATAATTACATGAAATAGTTATTTGTACATGTGCATGGTTTAAAATGCGGTGACATGAAGCGGGAGTTTTTCTTGTTTATTAAGGACCCCAAGCTGTCTCTGTACCTGCCATATGAGAGTTCTCCTCCGCCAAAATGTTTGTGACTTTTGGCCAGGTGGCTAAGATCGAATTTTTGATCAATTTGTGGCCTTGTTGGCGGTAAGCTTCTTGTATCAGATCCCCTGAGTAAACTGCTGTTCCCCCATATTGGCTTAGTCAACCAAGATCTCTTGTCGTGAATATAACCATTGTAACTATAAGGAGAATAAGTTAAGAATAAATTCCAATTGTATAATAAATATGATCCGAAAAATTATGTATTTTCAATAGTTCTCGAAACCTGTTCTTTTATATGAGTGGACTGGCATATATTTTTATACTTTCCAATATTCACATACACATAGAAGTTACGAGGAAAATTAGTGTACATCTTTCATCCACGGTAATTGCTTGAATGTTTTTGTCAGAAAACTCTGCGGACATCCCAGGCAGGTGTTTTCGTATAACTACGACATAAGTTAATACCAAGGTATACACTCGCCCCCTTCCCTCTCATCTCATCGACCTACAGTCTGCATGCTGAAGTACTCACAAGTAAAATATATACATTGTGTGTATGGACATAAAAAGTTGAGTAATTTAAATTTTGTGTAAAATCGCAGATAATTTGAAAAGAGATTCATACATGCAGCATTATATAGATATTCACTTAAATATAATAAGTTCCATCGCATGCTTTTGCAGACTTTCACTGGTAATTGTATTGAAATTGTTGCATTGAAATCAATATCCGACGACTTAATCATGAAGATGACATTTGGATAAGAGTAGAATATATATTTTTGACAAGCCGGGCTATATAGTGTGTGCTTGCATATATAACATATAACATAACATTGACTAAGCTGAGCCGCAGATTTTGAGCTAAAGCAGAAAGTACTTATGAGTTATGACAAGCTTGCCCAATACTTACGACTCTTCGCTGTTAGTTATACGGTCAAGGTGAAGCGGAGTATGGACTTGAGAAGACTGAAAAGTCTTTGACAAATGACCGACTCCTTGGAAAGGTGGCTGCGACACTCGATTCACAGCTCCAGCTGCTGCCATTCCCAGTTTAATACTTCTTATAGGTCCCTGTATTTTAAATTCTTCTATAATAGACTATTATACAAATTTTAGCACGAACCTAGCTGATGAGAGGCTTCGAAGTAGTTTCAGGAATATAAAATGATAAAACTATGCATGCACTGCCACTGGTTCGAGTCGTAAATTCGTACTGCAAAATAGGTTATTTCAAAATAACAAAAAACTTTAAACAAAAGCTCCAAGGAAACCGGAATGTGGTCTACATTTAGGGAAAACAAACGATGGATTATTTTAAATAATTAGAGAGAACATACATATGTATGCGAACTTATAGCAACATTTGCATTATGGACTTGCATGTTTACCGGGGCTTAACCGCAATACATATACCGGAAAATGATATAAATATTTAGCTCGTAGTTAATATTCAGTTTCTACCGGCAAGCACCTGTCAGCCGACACGCATCGCTACAATCATTTCCTTAGTTCTTTTATTCAACGCTTTCCAAAGAAAAGTAATATACTGCAAAAATTTTACGCGGCATAATGTTATTGTTTCGATAATTGTACACATGCGTTCCTAATGCTTGTACAAACTACCAGCGGCTAACCAAATAATCACATGATAGACGACAATTGTCAATATTTGTTTATGTGACAAATAACGAGGAAATTTAATATCATTTCATTTACACAATAGCGTCCATGCTCGCGGCATAGCAGATAACTGATGTGTTGTACTCCTTTATACGATTGTGATGTATACTCGCACAAGATTTTCCAACTTGACAACGGACACCGCGTATTTGCATGGGGCGGGGGAGAAGGGGGAGACAGACAGAATCTGTGATAATTCGAGCAATTTGTACTCGAAAGGCGGGCAAATTTTTGCTCAATGATCAACGTGAAAGACGCAATAGACCTTATATACATAATGACGTATCAAGCCGTCACGCCTGCAGGGAATTCTGGTTTTTGTAGTCAGGGCGAAAAATTCAAACTTCAAAATTTCCCGCCGTGACTATACTAAGACCAGAATTCCCTGCAGGTGTCGCAGCTTGTTACGTCAAGCGATCACTTTGCAATATACTATTGAGAGTTTCAAGTTCGAAGTTTTTCTTTTTTGCATGATCTTGGGTTACCTTCTCTACTAGCTGTCACACTCTGCATGCCCTAAAGAGGTAAGAACGCCAGCGCCTTGTCACTTCGCATCAGTGTTGCCCGGAATTATCCTGCCAGTCAACCGAACTTAATAAACGACCTGTCATATTCGCCATTATTTCGGTCAATCAATAATATTAAATTCTTTATCGTAACGAGCGCCGTTGTTGTATTAAAAGGTAATATAAGGCTAAAAGAATCGTTTATTTTGCGGTTAACTACAAATTAGTCTGTTAAAAATTCTCCGGAATTTTTCGAGAAGTGAAGGCTGATGTAAGAAATTGAGCGACCTCTTCTTTAGCTCAAGGAATCGCACACGCAGGTGGTTGGTGCTTGCCTTTGTTTTTCTTCGTCTGCTACGTCAGCCTATCACACCACTTTTTTGTACGTATGTCCATCAAATATAATTCTAAAACAGCGTCGTTACAGTTGTCAGAGATATAGACATATTTAATGTTGTCCATGCACCTATATAGCGCGTTAAAAATGTGTGACGATGATAGCTTTTCTGAGGTAAAAAACAACATCATAACAGAAGAACGCCTGTGATCAAGTTTTAAAATCACCTTCAATTTATTTCGCAACACGTGAGTGAAAAGACGCCAAAGCAGCTAAAGATTAGTGAACATACTGTCTGCAAAATATGTCTATCAACGCGGTTTTCCTGTGTGGTGTAAATATCTTCTTCATGATTACTGGGACGTTCCTGAATTCTATAGTGATAATAAGTCTGTGGAGAGCATCGCAGATTCGAAAGAAACCCTGCTACTTCATGATCTTTCTTTTATCTTGTAGTGACCTAGCTGTAGTCACCATAATTCATCCACTTCTCATATCATCAACGATACACTTCTTTTCAGAAAACTATAGCGAACTACGTGAACAAATAAGGGTATATTTTTCCTTGCTGTTAAATGGTTTCTCAATGTGGACGCTAATGATGCTGAATGTTGAAAGATTACTTGGCGTAATGTACCCGATATTCCATCGTACGTCACTAACTAAGAGGATCCTTGTATTTCTTCTGGGAGTCCTGTTTGTCGCCAGTATCATCCAGTCGACATTATCTTTCAAAAATGTTATACCTGACAACATATTGGCCGTTGTATATCTTCCGATATACTTCTCGTTGCTGTTATTCATGAATTACAAAATGTACGTTGTCGCAAAAGCAAAACAAAGAGAAAGCGCCTCCCGTGCAATTGGACCCGTTCGTCAAGACAATAAGAAGCTTGTTTTTGAGTTAAAAAAAGTCTCCACGTGTTTCCTCGTGGTCATGTGTTTTTTTCTTTGCTGTTTCCCAGGCATAGTGTTGTCGAGTTTATTTTATGCACAGAATAGAGCTCTGTATGATGAAAGCGTTGTCTCTTTAAGTTTGTGGATGACAACGTTTATCTCGATGAACGCGACCTTTAACTGTTTGATATTTTTCTGGAAAAATTCGATCCTCTGCCGTGAAGGGGCGAAGATACTAAATTACTTTTGGGAATCAAAATGCCGATCTGCTTTCTGCAGCAATCATTAAATTTGTTTTGTGGATTGATATATATGACACTTGTTTTCGGCATATTGAATGTAAGGCCTGCGGATCCCAGAAAAATGCAAACACGACACATTGCCAAGCCCCGTTTACATTACATTAAATTTTATCATCGTCACGGCGTAGCTAAAATCAGTAAAAAGGTACCCTTGCCCATGGGGGAGGGGGGCAAATGTTCATACTCTAGTATTCCTGTTAGTAGCTCGTAAAAATAATCAATAACCAAAAGAAACTATGTAATAATGCTAAAGGTGAATAATATGAATATATATTCAGGCAGGCAGGCATGCAGTAAGCATTAAATGAAACCCAATCATATTGTATAAAAACCTTAATTTTGAAATAGTATAGTGACTCAGAAACTACTGTGAAACATTAAAACACGAATACTGCTCCTATTCTATCCTATTCCATATTCTTCCTTATCTTTCATTGGTGCATGTGATCATTACATATTAGTAATTTTTAGTACAGTTGTAGTAGGTATTAATTTTAAGTACATATATATAGAACTGTCCTAGTTTGGTACATTCCCTTTAATATAATTAGACGGATACGACTAATGTAGCTAACTGCACGTAATACGGTAAAATAATTTTGGTACTGTAGTGAACAATATAATTTTATAAGGAACGAAAGATGTCTTAAGTTGTCTTAATAATGTACATGTAACACTATTTCACCCGTGACATATGAAAATGAAAACGCCACATCGTAGTCGTGTATTCTCTTCTACCTGAAACTTAAAGAACCTGTCTTCTATGAAGAATCATTTAATTATTTCTAAATTAAAAATATGAAAAACGCATCGTCTCCACGTAGGCCTCGAATAATACGCAAATTTCGTCCCCGAAAGATCATCTAAAGATGATCTACGTTTCTAAACTGCAGTGGTATGTTTCATTTCAGTGATATCAAAGACTCCTTATTTGAGGCGCTCTCCTCCGCAGAGGCTGTTGTGTAAGAATTATTACTGATTAAGGTTGCCACGATAGCGTCACAAATTAATGTAAACACAGATGGAGTGAACAAAACTAGAGTTACACAGCAGTTGCTAAGCAACATTGACACAAAAGCGATATAAATTTCGGTTGCGTATAAAACTAATCAGTACAAAATTTAATTATAAGAAGGTTATATTTTTCGTATTTTACAACCTTTCCTAACGTAACTTTTTAAAATTTTTAATGTTTGTAAAATTTAAAATCTTTTCAAAAAGCTGTAAAGTTATTGTGAAGAGTTTCTTAGATCAAAATGTTATTAATTGTTTTGGGCGCATGGGTCCGATAAAACTCGTGTGCTGACACAGCTGTTTGGTGTACGTATATCTAATATGGTTATATATTATAGTTACTCTGGTGATAAACATATAGATCAGTTTCGTTTGGTTAGCTATTCTATGCGAGGTGGAAAAGTTTTTATCTTTTACCATATCATCAGTCTGCAAGAACACCACGTATATTTATCACTGCAAAGCCTTTAGGTCCGTTAACTTGTGCAATTATAACTCACTTTCAAAATTCTTACACGTCACTTTTTAATCACGGATTGCCCTGATCTGTTTACTCGCGCTTTAATTGTCAATCAATTGGACTTTAAATTGCATGCCAATTTCGGCCTATACTTTTAAAAATGCATGAAAAGTCGTTCTTATATAAGCGAGCGCGAGAACGATTTCAGCTGAGAGACGTGCGACTGTGTTCATGCGGTTACTTTCAATTCTCATTTACAACGTGAAGATCAGTGAATACCGAGTAAAATATGTCCATAAACGCAGTCTTCCTGTGCATTGTAAACATCTTCTTCATGATTACTGGGACGTTCCTCAATTTTGTTGTGATAATAAGTCTATGGAAATCTTCGCAGTATCAAAAGAAACCTTGTTACTTTATGATTCTTGCGTTATCTGGTTGTGATCTGGCTGTATGCTGCATAACGCATCCACTTTTGACATCATCAACGATATATTGTTTTTCAGGAAAGTATAGTGAACTACGTGAACAATTAAGGGTGTATTTTTGCTTGGTATTGCATGGCTTCTCAATGTGGACGCTAATGATGCTGAATGTTGAAAGATATCTTGGAATAGTGTACCCGATATTCCACCGTACGTCCCTAACTAAGAGGATCCTCGCAATTCTTCTTGGAGTTCTCTTTGTCGCCAATGTCCTCCAGTCGACTTTATCTTTCCAAAATATGCTAATACCTGAAAACATACTAATTGTTGTATACCTTCCGATTTACTTATTCACGTTGTTATTCTTGAATTACAAAATGTACATTATTGCAAAGTCCAAACAAGGAAGCAATAACCACCGTGCGATAATGCCAGCCGCTGCCGTCAATCATGAGAATACGAAACGCGTTTTCGAGTTAAAGAAAGTGTCTACGTGCTTCCTGGCGGTCATGTGTTTTTTCCTCTGCTGTTTCCCATGCATAGTTCTGTCGAGTTTATTTTATGCACAGGGAAGATCTATGTATGATGAAAGCATTGTCTCTTTGAGTTTGTGGATAACAACGTTTATCTCGATGAACTCGACCTTTAACTGTTTGATATTTTTTTGGAAGAATGCAATCCTCCGCCGTGAAGGGGCGAAGATACTAAATAACCTTAAAAAAACATGTCGATCCTGCTTTGGCGGCAATCATTAATTGCAACTTTTTGTGGATAATCTCACCGTTAATTTTTATTATTGCATAATTAGCATATTTCGAAAAGTATTGACGCAAATAGTGAGTGTGAGATGTCGTATATCTAATTTTAACGAAGGGATGATATATGAATAGTAGGAGAGTTGGGGATAGGAGAGTTGGGGATGGTGTGTGGTGTTAAGGTGAGGGTGAAATTTTTGTTACTTTTATCGACAAAGATTGTAACTTTAAACCTCTGCATGAACGAGTCGGTGAGGCAGATTAAAACCATTAATGACTGTTCAAGTTTCTTGGAATTTTGTCATCCTTTTCACGTCACGAGATTTTTACGTTTTTAAAAAAAATGGAGTTTTTTTCAAATTCTTGCTAGAGCTGCATCTAGGGAGACATCGAACAAGCAAACGGTTGACTGATCAGTATAATAGTTTTGTTTTCATATTTTCCGCATATAATATG